TGTGTGAAATCTGGAATACATGAGCGCGTTGCGGCACACGCGTCTACATTAGATATCGAACTTGTGCCTGCAAAAGACAGGAGAATGGCCCCATAAGCAGCTACGTTTCTCCTCACATTTTCAAAATTTACCTTCGCTCCTGATTCTACACAAAAATCTAATTTAGCCTGTTTAGGCTGAGTTGGGCCGCTGTGTTTTTGGGCATTGGTGTTCTCCTTGACAAGGAGTATTGTTGTAGAATGCTTTCTGTTCAAATGCTTGAACAAGTTGCTGGTCAAGTAAAAAGCAGCCGAAAGTTGTTTAGAGGCTGGACAGAAACAGTATTTCAGCTCATGTTCTCCATCAATTAAAAATAAATGCTCATAAACTGACGTTGCAGCAGAAAAGGTGATTTTAAAAAAAGCTCTTTTTTTTTTTTTCTCTCCAAAATTCTATATTTGTAACGCAAGTAACACAATTACACTGACTTTGGTAACTGTAATCAATTTACACACATTTAAAATAAAATTTGTTACTTACAATACAGTAACACATTACTGTGGAATATGTTGCACCCAACTCTGGTAAATACAGTAGCCATCTTCACTTGTAATATTTAAAATTATTCATTAATTTTAATTTTGTAATATAGAATTCTATTACATAAATGTATACAGAATTTTACCCGGCATGTTTCATTATTTCACCTCAAAGTTACAAATGTAGCAACTTTCAAGAGTCTTTAATAAGTTATTGTGTGAAAGATGCTGCTGTTAATTAAACTGACCTCTTTTCAACCTAGTTTTAAATGAGTAAGCTTCTGATCTGACACATGGCAGTCAAACATATGGTGTGGAATGTGTTGGACATGTGCTAGTAGATGACTGCACACAGAACAATCTCCAACACAAGTTACAACAGCCATGCGATAGGGTGGTGCTGGCTTTTCTAGTTGCGTCTCTGTCTTACTCAACCTCTCGCTTCAGCATGAAAAGCTCCAAGGACACTCCCTTTGGCTTGCAGGGCATGAAACCCAACCCATTCTCAAAGGACAGTCAGTCACAAAGGGACTCTAAACAAATAGCTCTGGGTCTGACCAGTATCACATTACTTTTTTTACAGAGTTGACCTTGTGAAAAACAAAAATACAAAACAAGAAAGAGTGCGAAAACCATTTTAGACTTTAACTGTTCAAAGTTTTTTTTATTTTTTTATCTTGTATGGGAACAGGTTCTTTGAAAATGTCCTGAGAGTTTTGGTGTGACTACAAACATATGGAACCTGTTTTTCAGTGGTGTGGCACGACGTTCAAAAGGTAATGTCATATCAGACCTGTTTTAAAGGATGTAACAAGCCATAGTTCTCTGATAAAAATCAGTTTCTTAGAACTAAACAGACAAAACAATGGTGATGTATTGTAAAAACTGAATTTTTTTATTATAATGTATCTCCTAAATATTCTCTTTTGTCGTCTCAGGAAGTAGGAAGTATGGATTTAACATAATTAACTAAATGACCTTAATTGGATAAGTGTGGTTAATCTGAGCTAAACAGGGATCCAGTGTGCTCATGGGTGACTTCATTCTCATACTCCCCCACGTTAGACCACTACTAAGATAAGACATCTGTGCTGCTACTGCAAGTCTTTTTCTAATATCTGTTGAAAGCCACTGTCCCAGTTTTGTCCCAGTATATCTTCTGATCTCTTTGAAGAAGCAGATCTAGATCAAGAATCCAGTGGTGCTCTTTTCTCTCTAGAGGTTTTCTCTGCCCCCCTTATACTGATTAAGAACTGGTATGTGCAATTGGGGTCATTTTTTTTTTTTTTTTTGATAAGACAATGCTTATGCTGGTCATTTCCTGTAAGTGTATTACATCTGGACCTCCTCGGATGGGTTTGAGCCCAGTCATTAACTTGCAAAGAAGCTGCCTTTATTGAAATACATTAGTGATGTTTAATACAAGCTTTATTTGAAGCTCATTTTACTCACAACCTTCAGGCAAAAATCACTGAATTTGATTACTATCCAGTTTCATATACCAGCATTAGATGCACTTGTCCACCAGTCATGAACACACACTGGCACATTGTTTCTGCATTGACACACAGCTGCAGTGTTCAAAGTTGAAGCCGACTGCATTGCTACCAATGCCGGGTGTATTTAGTTACAAGGAAAATATTTGCTGTAATTGAATTTACTCTTCCACTAAAAAGTGAAATAAGAGATTACTTTTCATTTTTAGGAAATTAAGTTAGTTACTTACAATGTACTTGCCTTAAATACTGTACATAAATTCAACAGGTCTATATAAAGAGTATTTTGCAGAATAATTCTATTTTTTCAATTAAAAGCATTTATAATTTATTAACTCTGTTCTTTAAAAAATAATTGAGTTAATAGTTAATGAATGATTGAGTTATTAATTATTCAGTTAATCAAATTGATTAACATGCTTTAAACTATGAAATGTTTTAGAAGTTTATCTCAGTAAATGATATGTAAGAAATATGGTGTCATTCATTTGAAACATTTTGTTTAGATACACGTATTTTTTTAATTAAAGACAAAGTCCCTTTAAGACAAGTCATTTCACTCGGCGGCCATCTTTAAAACGCATCTCGGGCAGTATGCTCGGATATTCTGTTTGAATAGGGAAACATTAAATTCTCCAAAATTGCTTGCCAAGCTCACTTAAATTTCATAATAGGAATACAAACAAACAAACAAACAAACAAACAAACAAAAATGTCTCTTTAGTTTCATTTCTAAACATTCAAATCAAACAAAATCTGCAGAAACTCACGTCTGGTCCGAGCCCCTCTGGTCGAAACCTCGATCAATAGTGATTGATGATTGGCTCCTGTCCTAGTAGTAATATAATAAAATATAATATATTATAATATAATATAATATAATATAATATAATATAATATAATATAATATAATATAATAGTTTTTTTTCTAATTATTTTTTAGGGGTTTTCACCTTGATTTTGAAAGGACAGTTGGAGGTTACAGACGGCAAAGTATTGGGAGCAGAGAGAGTGGAAGGGTCAGCAAAGGACCTCGAACCGGGAATTGAACTCTGGTCACTGTGAGCACCATGGTACTATATGTTGGCACACTTGACCACTAGGCTATTGGTGCCGACTGTTATTATATTTTTTAAATAATATTAAATATCCTGTTTAAATGTAAATAATTAGGAGTTTTTCTGTTTCTGAGAATTTTTGTTGTCTATACAGTGAGATTTATGGGGATTTGTTTGTGCATTACTCTATAGTTTTAATTTATTTAAGTGAGTATAGCAATATAAAGAAATCCATGATCCTTTTAGAACCGAGTGTTCTTTTTCTTTTGGTGGACTAAAAGCAGGATCTGCTGAAGCTGCTTCTGCGAGTCTGGGAAACAATATTGACGTTCAAGCTTGCATGAAGCTGGTTGACAGCAGAAGCTGTCATTAAGGATAATAGTGAGCTCACTAAGTATTGATAGTCTTGTAAATATTGTCATACTGACAGTTTGCTTGAATTGTTTTTGGTTGATTACACCTTCCAGGTTATTTGACATTATCAAGAGGATTTTGTTGACACGATCTGATTTCTTGTCATATCATTTCCTAAAATACAGGGATTAAGCTGTGATAATGTGTTTAAGTCCATCTTATACTAAAACTTCTGTAATTACGTAGTTTTTTCTCAGGAATTCTAATTTACTAAGTAGCGTTAAAAATGAGTACATTTACTTCCCCTTGAGTACATTTTTAGTGCAGTATTGGTACTTTTACTCCACTACTTTCCTTCAACCTGCAGTCACTACTTTATTTTGGGGATTATCTGTGGGGATTAGAAGAATCAATTCTGTGATTCCTGTCCAATCAAATTGCACATAGAAGGTAAATTGCATCATAATGAACAACATGGGCGATTTTATAATTGCAGCAAACTGTTCAGAAGCAATAAAAGTGTCCAAAACATGTCCAAAATCGTCACACACCATGACCCAGAGACTGTTTAGATATAAGAATAAATAAAGGTCAGTTAGAATAAAGAATAAAGAATAAAGGTCAGTATTTGATGTCAATATGATGTTGGTTTAAGATGTTGGCTCTACATTGGAATTTGGTCACTTTCCAACACAACCTAAAATCAACCAAATATCAACATCATTTAACGTCATTATTGAACATTAAAATAACATTGTCTTTAGACGCTGGCTAGATATTTGGTCACCTGACATCACAACCTGAATTTAACCTAATATTGATGTCTTATGATGTTGTGTGCCTGCTGGGCAATAATTAAAAGCACTACAGAATGATACATTTACAAACATCCACAAATTACATGTAAATGCATCAGCTTCTTACAGCATAATACTTACTACTCTTGAGTATTATGTAAAAGGGTTACTCTTTACTCATACTTTGAGTAATATTTACAACAGATACCTTTACTCTACTCTACTACATTTTAAGGTAGTTTAAGTAATGGTAGTTTTACATAAGTAGGATTTTTCAGTACTCTTTCCACCACTGTACATATGTGGTACTTATGAACCACAATGTCTTGAACCCACTAGTAAAAAAAATATACCAAAAGTTATATCTGGTTTTATATTTGAGTTGAGAGTGTATTTGATAAACTATGTACTGTTTATTTCCTTATTCTTTGTAACTTTTATTTATCATAAATATCAAAAATTGCCATTCATGTTGCCATGCTAAGTGACTTGATGACTCTATTTGCAGTGGCTCATGAAATCAGTATTTTCGTGCTGTGTGTGTGAATCTGGTCATTTATATTTCAGATGGTTTCACACACACAAATTCTTTCTTTTTTTTTTCTTCAATTCTCACCTCCTCTTCTCTCGTGTTGTTCATTCTCTTTCCCGCACTTCCATTCTAAAGCTCTTTGTCATGCTCTGATCCATCTAGTCATTTCCTGGCCCGGCTCGTCTCATTCACACTGCTCTTACTAGCACATTTAAGCTGTTTTTCTTCATTTTTCATCTCTTCAGGACCCCCTTTGAATAGTTCTCAATCAACATGCCTCATTGAGCTCCGGAAAGCTCTGAAGATGCGAATGTTTCCAGCCTTGTGGAGTACTGTGTTCCCAGCAGCAGCTTTCAGCAGTGGTCTGACTGAGGTAGGTGGAAATTCAAAATCCATTCTGACTGTCTTCCCTCTTGGTTTCTGTGCATTTGTGGTGCTTGATGGCTCATGTGTACACTGAAACCTATCCATGCCTATTTTTGGCACATTTCAGATTGCACTTTCTACAGCGATTGACTTTGAATACAGGTTGTGTCTACTGAGTAGTTGGTTGAGATTGTGTTGCTCACATAGCAAAAACACAGATGTAGTATTTGGTACATTCAATTATGTTAGAAACTAAAAATCTAATTAATAATGAAGTACCTATTTTAAAGCATATATCTACAGTATGTATTTGTGTTTGTAAAAAAGTATTCCGTACACACGGAAACATACTGTACAGAGACCAGACTAGGGCTGCACAATATTGAAAATATCCAGTATTGCAATATTTGTTTTAATCTGCGATTTATATATTGAGATATGAATGCAATTTCACTAAATGGTGTTGAATAACCATTTGGAAAGAATTAAAAATTTTAGATTATTTGGAATAATTCGGCATAAAATATAATAAACAATCTACAAGCATTGATAAGTTCAATAAAGAAAAAGTTACAAATGAAAAAAAAACATTGTTTTTATTGTTTTCCGAGGAGTCAAACCGTATTAAGGTATACAGTAATTGAATACTCAAAAGTAAAATAAAACCACATGGTCCCCGTTTTATAAAAAAAAAAATTCAATAAAATTTGTTGTTATTAATTTGTCAAACTTAAAAATGGTACAATTTCATAGGCCTCAATGCTTTTAAAACCCTCACAGAGTCACAGGCCTCAAAAAACACTAGCAAAATGATAAATTATAATCCAGAATCAACATTGCATATACATACGATGTGACTATTGCAAATGATCACATTGCGATAGCGATGCTGAAACGGTATATTGTGTAGCCCTAGACCAGACATAAGGTTTTTTTTATGTTCTCCTGGTATAATAATTTTATTTATCAGCTTTATTCTTAAAAATCAAATACATTATACATTTTTTATTATTACAAATTTTAATACAGCTTTACTCTTAAGTCTGACACATTTACAGACATTAAGTCTGCAAATCTTATGTTGCTCTGGTGTATCTACAGGATGGCAATAGCCAAAAATACATTGTATGGGTCAAATTATAGATTTCTCTTTTATGCTAAAAACTGTTTGAATATTATGCAATGATATTTTTTCATGTAGATTTTTTTGTAAATTTTCTACTCTGTATGTCAAAACTCCATTTTTGATTATTAATGTGCATTGCTAAGCAAATAATTTCAACAACTTTTAAATTAGACAAATAATAGTATCTCTGCAACATATTGTCCTATCCTAACAAATCAATCATTCATTCAGTCATTCATTCGTTTTCTTTTTGGCTTAGTCCCCTTATTAATCACGAGTCGCCACAGCAGAATGAACCGACAGCTGATCCAGCATATGTTTTAAACAGCGCACGCCCTTCCAGCTGCAACCCATCACTTGTGTACACAATAAATTATTATTTGTTATTCCTAAAACTTGGATAGGCGACAAGACCTTTGTCAGGTAGTGTAGATCTATGACTGGTGTTATGATCCTTTACAGAGGGCTGAAAAAGAACACTTACTGGTGTATCCATGTCAAACTTAATCACCATTTCATGTAGTGTAATGCAGCTTTCCTCATATTACATTCCTTATGGAGGAATGTAATATGAAGATTGTACAAAGACAGTGATCTTAAGTAACACTGTAAAAATGAACAGCATTGGAAAGCACATACTGGTGTATGCATGAATATCAGATGGTGCAACATGTCACATGATAAGAATACCTCTGTCAACAAAGGAAAAAGTCTTAGTGTGGATAGAATGCTAAAATTTAAATAAAATGGCATGTTTGCAAATTAATCCAGATTAGTATAGATATAGTTTTTGGATTGTGGTTACAGAGGCGTGCTCATTCTGAGGATGAAATTGAGAACAGCTCGTTGATCTTGCTCAACAAAAGTTAATCTAATGCGTCAATCACTTTTTACCAAAGGGGTCAATTTGACACCATTCAAAGGTTGACACCTGTAAATACATGGTTTAATTAAAGGAATATTTAAGTTGTCAACAAACAGCTTGAATTTCTTGACACAAATCTTTTTTAAAATAATGGGAGTGTTGAAGTCAAATTGAACCCAGTTTTTAGATTTTAGGTTAAAATTAGGGATATAGAGAATAATCAATCTGAACACTGAATAACAATAAATATTAGGATTAAAAATCTATATTGAAGTGTTTTATTTAGTGTAGCATTCAACAATTGAGGCCTTGAGACGAAGAACCATATAAGTCCATATTTTCTAATTCTGAGTAATACGATTTTTTTCATTTGGTTTGGGAACATTATATTATATATTTCTATTTTACTTGACGATAGACAATAAAAGCTTCTCAATAGTGAGGAGAAAATATTTTTCATTTTTTTATTTTTCAGTGTCAGTGTTAAAAATCAAAAGTTATTGTGATTTTTATATTTCTCAAATGTGGAAGTATATGTCCAGTTAGTGTGGAATAACAGTATATCATCATATCACTTGAAACCACTAGAGATCTGATTTTTTCATCTTAGTTTTAATACAGTTACAGAAACTTCAGGTTAATATTAAGCATTTCTTTCAAGTTTATTATTATTATTATTAGTATTTAAAATATTTAAAAACAATGTACAATACATAGACCTTCTTAAAGGACAGTCGATAACCATCAATTGTTAAAAATAAACAATAAATAAATAAATACAACAATAAATGCATAAAATGCAGACATAAATCATAGCTAAATATTGTTGTTTATTTAGAATATACATAGTTTAGCTGGTGTATGTGCTACTTCAAGCTGTTCTCACGCTTCGCCATCTTGCACATAAATATATAAACAAATAAACTCTGCTTGTCATAGTTTACACAAGACGGGCTGGAAATATGCATTGATACTGCTTTATTGTATATGGTATGTGGTTTGTTTTATGTTTGTTTTTGTAGCATTTAGCACACAATGCGTTTAGAGAAAGTGAGAGATCACATCCCATATACGGTTCTTCCCTTCTTCACACATATACGGTCGATACTTTTTTCAGTTTTTTTTCGTTCTCCTCTTTTATTTAAATATGGTTTCCCAGCATCTCTCAAAACCTTCCTTACTCGGTCCTTCCATTTGTTCATGTCTGGATTTGTCTTATAAAGTCTGAAGCGGGCATGACAGCAAAGGGGCATCTCTATTCTTCTTGGTGACATAAATGATTTTTGCGTGTGAGGCTATTTTAATGTTTAAAATTCAGACTCTTGGTCATGCGAAAATATCCCCAAACTTTTTCTGTGTACCAAGTTCACACATACAAATAATGTCACTGGGTTATTTCAGTATATATATTTTTTACTTATACGATTGTTCGTCGAACACACTCCATTACTATTTTTATTTAATATTTTTCTTTTTATATTTTAATTAAATACTAGAATATTAAAATATTCTGTTTTAGCTCTTTTGAAACAGTATATTAATAGAGTTTGTGCATAAGAAATACATTATAAAAACAATTTTACAATTTTTAAATTGACGAGTATGTCAGACAATTGAGGGAAAAGTTTTCCAGCATGCATACTATAAAATGTTTTTTGTTTACCATTTTTCATGATTTTCACTATGCATACTAGAAGTGTGAACTTTCTTAAGATAGAGATCGACTCCAGATGACATGGATTGTAAAGAATGCTATGTTATTGCCTTTGCTTCTCTTTTAGACATCGGACACACTTACACACACATACCATTGAAACTATAGATAATACTCCCCACACATGCATTTTTTTGACTGGAGACAGAGAGTATCTCTGTATCCGCGTATAATCACTGCTGCTTGCACACACATTTGGTTTAAAGCCAATAGCTGTTATCTAAATGCTTAAGGCTGTGGGTTTGTTTATTGATTTGGTAAAAATAGCTTGGCATATACAGTATAGAGAGCAAGCTTTGCAGTCCTGCTACATTTTCTTTTTTAGGAAGCATTATATAAGACTTAACATGTATGATATTACATAACTCACAAAGCATGCGTCCACATGCTGTTAATTAGCATGTTTAAGTGATGGCAGCTGAGTTCATTCATTCACTGTCATAAAGAAATCTCCTATGTTTGAGCAGCCTCTTTATCCAGCAAATCCCGTTTTAAAAGCTTTGATTTTGTAAAGATGACACAATGCTGTTGCCAAGACAGCCACTGAAACAGTGATGCACATTTAAAATAGACTGTTTTCTGATGTTACTACCAGTGTTTGGTTTGTGCTGTTCAAGTACTACTTCACACAGTAACTCAGAGTGCAGAATTTTGTTTTATTTTGTCTCATTTTACTTTATTTTTCCACTGAGATGCTGATAGTATTTAAACATTTTGTTTATTTCTCTACATGTTCTCATTCTCAGTATCTTATGTGACCATCCAGATAATCATTCTGGGTTGAAACTGGCTTCAACTCCATCCTTCAAAGTGAACATGATGGTTTAATATTGCTGTGAAGGTGCAACAATGACATCTATGGTTGTCAATGGGAACCGTGGTGGCCAGACACTGGTCCTGACAGGAGTGGATCCTGAAACATGCATGATTGTGTTCAAAAACCACTGGGCACAGGTATGTAATGCGTTTTACCTTCTTTACTTTTTGCTGCTCTTCCACATATTAATATTCTCCTCAACAGTTATTAGCAACAGCCATTGCTTATCATGCTACTATTGGCAACCTGTAACCACTGACTTCTGTACTAGAAAAAAACAAATACTATGGAAGTTAATGGTTAAAGGTTTTCAGCATTTAATATCTTCTTTTGTGTTAAACAGAATACCGAAACTTAAAGTTTTTTGACTTACATTCTTTTCCTTAAAATTCCTGGTTCAGTTTAGAAAACTAAAACTTCTTTTGTTCTTTAAACATATTATTTTTCTTTCTTCCGCTTAATTTATTATAACTTTTGGCATGTTTTTTTCCTTGTCTGACCAGTTAATACAGGCTTAAACTTGACAATAGTTTATTAATTTATTCATTTTCATTTGACAAGGAGGCAGAGTCAAGGGAACTTGGGCGTTTACGGCAGGCGAGATGTGATAACAGCATCATAAACTCACGGTTGACAAAAAGCAAATCAAAATGAGCATAACAAGTGACTAGAGGGGTTTTGTAAAGGCAATGCTATAAAAAATGTTTTGCAAATATATCTATGAAGTTTTTTTTTTATTGTAACTATTTTAGTTTTATTTGCACTACTTGTTTTTTATTTGCATTTTTTTTTTTTGCAAATTTCATTTTTATTTCTCATAAATTTATTTTCGCTTTGTGATTTTTGCAGATTTGGATTTTTTTGCTCAATGATTTATTTTTTGTTTACAAAACCTTCTTTTATCTTGCAAGCATATATGGCTCTAGATTGACTCCATAGTGCCTCCAATTTGGCCTATATGGCAATATGAATCTATTTTTCTGTTGGTAATATGTTATTTCTGTTTATATTATATGATTAATTAAAATAATTTACAAATACACATATTTTTGATTATAATATAAATTCCTAATTCAAAACAAGCGCATTAAAATGGAATGTTTTGCAAGTTCTTACAATCCTGAATTGGCTCTAGAACAGACAATCCTGTTGTAATCGTGCTTTGTGAATAAGGCTCCTGACCTCTCCTGTTGATTCAGCAGAATGCTCCAGAACATAGGAGGCATTGTTTGGGCACAGAAGACAAGTTCACCCCATTAGAGAAACTCTACAGACAGAAATTATAGTGATTTTCTTTCTTTTTCTTCTGAATACACAATTGTTAACATCGTATCAGATCATTTTAATATTTTGCATGAGTCCTTTAACCTTTTCCTGCTTACTTTGCATTGCATTAATGAATGGCACATTTTGTTTAAAATAATATGTCATTTGGCCCTGCTTGTATTTCCTCTTCCTGAAGTCTCCAGGTTATGCCTTTACTGTTTATCACCCTGCTCTCAGTCAGGTGTGTCAGACTGAGATTTTGTCACCATGGTAATTTATCAGCACCAGGACAGAGGATGCATTGTTTCAGCTGATCTGGATTAGCAGCTCTCCTACTTCTGAATTTATTTACATAATATCAAAGTGATATTTTCCTACTACAAATAATTTAATTTAATTTAATTTAATTTAATTTAATTTAATTTAATACACAGTTAATTTAAACATAGTCTTTTCATGGTGCAACTTGATACTGAGAATAGAAGTCTTTTTTTATAGATTTTTATAGTCTAAAGCCTGTCCAGTATGAACACCCTCTGATCTCTTCACATTTCCTCAGGTGGTGAAGATTCTAGAGAAGCATGACCCTTTGCGCAGTAATACTGGTGGTCTGGGTGGAGGCCATGGTCTGGCTGGAGGTGGAGGACTCGGCAGCTTTCGTTTTGGACCAATCCCGGGTGATGAGGCCAGCGCTGTGCAGAACTATGTAGAACACATGCTCTTTCTCCTCATGGAGGAGGAATGTGGTCAAAATGGAGCCATGGGGCCCATCCTGGAGTTTGTAGTGATGGAGAATGTATTGGAGAGGCTATTCATCTGGAGCTTGAGACGAGAATTCACAGACGACATGAAATTAGAGCAGCTAAAGATGTATGAGATGCTGATCGGTCAAGCCAGGCAGCCATTGCTTCATCATAAACCTGTGTTGAAGCCCTTAATGATGCTTCTGTCATCCTGCTCCGGGTCTCCGACAGGTCCGAGCTCCCCCGCTGTGGAGACAGAACTCGTGCTGCTCCTGAACCAGCTGTGCTGTGTCCTGGCTAAAGATCCTTCAGTCCTGGAGCTGTTTTTCCATACCAGTGAGGACCAAGGAGCTGCTAACTTCCTCATCTTCTCCCTGCTCATCCCTTTCATACACAGGGAAGGATCAGTCGGACAGCAGGCCAGAGATGCTCTTCTACTTATTATGGCTCTTTCTGCTGAAAATCATGTTGTAGCCAAACACATTGCAGAGAACACCTACTTCTGTCCGGTATGAGTCTGTTATTATAAGCTTTCCTTTTTTATTTATTAGTTTTTAAGTTACTTGAATAATTGTGAACACTTTTGGAAAGAATTCGAGTTACTGATGTGGTGTTTCGTTTATTTAATTATGTGCATTGCCTAAATTACTATTTATTTAAATAGATTTTAGGGACCTTGGTGCTTTTACGTGTAAAAACTGTATTTAACTCCAGTGTTAATAGTGTAACATACTGTATATTGGTATTATGTAGGAAAAATCATCATCTTGGAATTATAAGGTTCTATCTGCGTTCTGAATGATTTTGAGATAATGAGCTTTAAAGTTTTTGCATTCCATAGCAAACAGTATATGTGTAAAAAAAAAAATTTCTTTTTAATAAAAAGTCTTAAAGTGTAAACAACTTAAAAAAAAAAAAAGGAAGGCACGAGCACATCACATTACTTATGTGTGCTAGTGCTATCCCCACTGAAAAAATGAACTTGTGCGAAAAATAGAAAAGCGAAATGCGAAGAGCCTCTAAAAGGCCGCCGTCATTTGCGATCTCCAGCAGTCTCTTGCACAGACATGGTGGATTCACCTGATTTGTTGACAAATGGGTTGCAGATCCATTCCTTGGCAGTTTGTGGGTCAGTCACTGTTCCTCAAAACAAAGAAACCTTCTAAAGAAGTTTCTTACACATTTTGCTGTGTGCATTTTGCTGCATTTTTCAAAATAAAGATTTGTAAAAGATTGTTCAGACTCAGATAATAAATAAAAAGGAAGTAAATAATGATTTCTTGTGCAGCCTGGTACCAATTGATACATGGACCAAAACCAGTCTGTGGCCCGGTGGTTGAGGACCACTGACTTAAAAGAAACACTTAAAATTTGCTATTTTCTGACATGTTAAATTCAGTACACATACAGACAGATTAAAACTTATTCATTTATTTCTTTATCTGGGGATCTTAATATTGATGTCTCTATAATAAACTTTTTTTTGTAAAGTAACCTAAAGTAACCCTTTTGTCTCGCAGAATACTCCAGGAATTTTCTAGTGAGCAATTTATTGAGTAGGGCTTAAATAATTGCTCATTGTAAAATTCCTGGAATGAAGGGATAAAGTGGACAGGACAATTGACAAACTGAATGTACACCCACTATACATGATAATCATTAAATGAAACTACACGCAGAAGAAATATGACTTTTTATATGAATTTTCATGAGCAAGAGCATGAATAAAACCTTTGATCATCTTATCCCACTGTTTATGAAATCAAAATGAAATCCACAATGAGTGAAACCAACAGGACATTTTAACTGGTTATATCTTCACTGAATGTGCAGATTGTTGTTGAATACTATCAATTTTTTTTTGTGCCACCGTGGGCACTCTCGGGGCGTCCAGGAGCACAGTGTGTTCTTATGTAAAGTCATTAGAGATAATTGCATAATCTGCTGCACCATGGATGAGTACCCCTCTTACTAAGATGACATCACCCTCAACTTCAACAGAGTCTGGCAGCTGATGTGCACTCTCAGCCCTTTGTGACCTCACATGCTTCTGCCAGTGAACGAAGCTAGAAAACATGCAGCTAAAGATTTCTGTGCTATTCCACAATTCTTTCTTCAAGTTTGCATTGTGAACTATTTGGGCATTAAATTAACTCATTATTCATGCGTTTTAATGTTGACATTCACTAAAACAGTAGTGCTCATCAATTAATCCTTGTGTTTTCAGAGTAAGAAAATGCATTCAGATTGTTAGTCTTGTTTTCCCAGTTGAATTTTAAAAAATATTTCAGATTAATCAAACAGACTAACACACATTTTTTTCATCTTAGGTTTTGGCTACAGGTCTGAGCGGCCTTTATTCATCTTTGCCTACCAAGTTGGATGTACCCAGTGAAGAGTGGCACTGTCTGCACCGTGACGACTGGCAACAACTGCCTGCTCTTGTGCAGTTTCTTAACTCTCTGGAGTTCTGCAATGCCGTCATACAGGTTTGTGCTAGATATGCTTAATTTGTACTGCAAGTGTGTGTCTGTATACATCAGAGGTGTCCAGTCTTGCTCATGTGGAGCACATTTATTGCAGAGTTTATTACATAGCTCCAGCACACCTTAGAAGTTTAAACTATGAGATATAAACCATTTGAGATCCATGGGATGCATACCCATGTAGTAAAGAATTCTGGCCCAGATTTGGCATCAATCTCTCACAGCAGGCATTCATCTAGCACTGGCATAAAGCATGTGGGCCAAACATGGCCCTGGTTTGGCAGAGGTGGCACCGTCTTTAAGGCGGCACACAATATTTAGCTAGATGTTATTAACTGATATGTGGGCTATGCAAGTTTAGCTTAACTTGACCCACATTTAAAATACATTTTTATTATTTTTAAATAAAAACATAAACCAATCAGGTCACTTCGAGAAAAAGCATGCCCATAGCACGCCTAAAGTGCAATAATTAATCGCTTTATCAATTTCATTGCAGTCATGACACAGCAACGTATTAAGCCTAGTTAAGGCTCAGTTATGTGTTATTAACTTGGCTGAGACTGCTTTTACTTGTATCAGGGTGTTCGTGGGATCTTAAAAAGTCTTACATTTTCAAAACAATATTTTAGGCCTTAAAAGGACTTAAATTCACTGAAATAATGTGTTGTCGGTCTTAAATAACTTTTAAACAGGTCTTAAATTCCCTCTCTCAAAGTAAAGCTACCCAACAGGCAGATATTCATCCAATTACCAATAATCCATCTCAATAAATCTTCTTTTTAAAAGTTTTTTATTGCAAAGAAATACAGCAAAATCTCCAAATTAAAATCCTTAAACTAAAACAGTTACTCAATTACTTATGATAACAACAGGGCAACATATCCCTTTACATGATCTTTTATTTACAAAAAGTATTTACAGAAATGAGGGGGAGTGAACATGTTTATAAATAAATTTATTTATAAATAGGCATGAAACAGAAACACATTAGGCTGAAAAGGACTTATACTCAATTCTATCGTCCAAAAGCCAACAAATACTGTATATATATTTTTTGATTATTCATGTAATTTTTTTCTGTAATAAAAATACTTTCAACAAGGTTAAAAAACAAAAACAACAACTTGTATTTTAAAAAAAGTGCATACAACTACAGTTTTCTTGTTTTGACACATTAAATATATTTGGCTAAGTTATAACTACATTTCATTTTTGTGGCAAAAAAACAAACAAAACAAAATAAAAAATCCTTAGTGTTTATGCATTGATGACTTGATGAAACCTGCAGAAACCCTGTTCATGTGTGAGTGTGTGTGTTTGTACTGGTTTTGGTGGTTTACAAGGACAGTGTTTTTCATAATGACATGGGTATGATATAGTTACACTCCATTACAGTGGTTTACAAGCACATGCCTCATGCATGGGGGGGATTTTGCATGGGGGGGATTTTACATTTACAGGATTTACATGAGAACAAGGAATCAATTTTCGAGTCTTTCAGGCTCACTGAATATCATGTACTAAACTCTTATTATTTAGCTATGCCTTGGTAGAGTATATCCAGATTTGCCAATCAGATGAAACATTCCCTTTGAAGTGTTGCCAATTGTGCATGCCATATTCATCAGACATTCAGCCAGTGATCTGTAGCATGAAATCCGAGGCTGAAACTTTACAAATCAGAAATCTATTGGCCAATCTATTAGTGAATTGACTTTTCTTTCTGTTTTCTTCCAAAAAAGTTTCATTTGTAATGACAAAAGCAATCAATGTGAGTGCAGACCAGTATGGAAGTGGGGAAGGACAATTATGTTTGGGCACAGTATGGGCTAAATTAACAGGCTTAGTTGTGTTAATTAGTGCTACAGTGAAACTGGGCTTCTAGTTACACAACTGGATGTGCATGGTCTAAAGCAAAACAACCTGCAATCATTTTACAATCAGAAACTAGACATCAGGACGAATGTGTGCAAGGTACTCAGAGGAGGTTTATGTCAGGTGACATAAAGGTCGCAAGGTTGAGCTTTAAGTAAACATTATCGTAGTTCCCTTATCTTTATATGCACACATACAAGAAAGTGAAATGCATATAAATAGTGGGAATGTATCTAATTTCAGCTTTCTCTGTGTGCAGGTGGCTCATCCTTCCATCAGAGACCAGCTGGTTGGCTACATCCACAATGGTTTTCTGGTACCTGTTCTAGCACCAGCATTGCACAAGGTTAGTAGGCTTTTTTTTTTTTTTTTTTAGATTTGACAGCTAATACAAATAATATTTTATAACATGAAACCTAAACTTCTGTAGCTGACACTTGAAGAGGTGATGACCACAACCGCATACCTGGACCTGTTTATACGCAGTGTTTCTGAACCTGCCTTGCTGCATACCTTCCTCAGCTTCATCTTGCTCCATCGCCATGACAGTGTGCACATTTTGGACACACTAGTCAGCCGCATCAACACTCCTTTTCAGGTAACCCAGAATGTTATTCCTTCACATTTACCTATTATTTAATCATTATGAGAGAATGGGCCACTGAACTGCTGTTAGTAGCACTACTGTACCATAGAGCTACAAATAAAGGTTGAAGTTATGTTAAAGCAGGGTTAAGGGATAAATCAGGAATAATTTAAATATTATTAATTATAATAAATTTTTAAAAATACAAGGTTGGTGGCACGATGGGTATTGCTCTAGCCTGACAGCAAGAAGGTCACTGGTTCGAGTCTCAGCTGGGTCAGTTGGCATTTCTGTGTGGAGTTTGCATGTTCTCCCCTTGTGGGTTTCCTCCGGGTGCTCAGGTTTCCCCCACAGTCCAAAGACATGTGGTATAGGTAAATTGGGTATGCTAAATTGTCCGTAATGTGTGTGTGTGTGTGTGTGAATGAGTGTGTATAGATATTTCCCAATGATGGGTTGCATCTGGAAGGGCATCCGCTGCGTAAAACATTTGCTGGATAAGTTGGCGGTTCATGCTGCCCAGGTGACCCCTGATTAATAAAGAGTCTAAGCCGAAAAGAAAATGAATGAATGAGGTTAGTCTTAAATGATCAAAATAGTTTTCAGGATTTAATTTAACTTTTTTTTTTTTTTTTTTTTTTTCCTTTGGTGCACAGATTTCAAAAACATATTCATGAATCTAGTTTCATAGCTTTCAAATGATACCTTTTTTGGATAGATGGGTAAATATTTTTAATAAACAAAGGTAATGAAATCTACAGACATGCCCAGATTGCCCGTGATGCATGTCACTGATGAGAAGCTGAAGGATGTTTACTGTATGATGACTGAAATGGCCTTAAACACCTAGCAGGCACAAGACCTCAACATGACGCTGGATTGACATTGTACTCCAACATCAAGGGGACATTTCATTTTGTTTTGAAATGAAAATCGGGTTGACGTCAGAACTCAACGTCAGGTTGATGTCAAAGTCCAACATTCAACCTAAAATCAACCAAATATCAATGTCTAATAAGGATGTTACAGCTTGATGTTATGTGGATGTTATCAATATGATGTCTATCAAATGCTGGATTTTGGTTGCCATACCTGACGAATAAATGTCAGTATTTGACATTAAAATGACATTGGTTTAAGATGTTGGCCTGATGTTGGATTTTGGTCACTTTCCAACACAACCTCAAATCAAACAAATATCAACATCATTTGATGTCGTTATTGAACATCAAAATAAGATTGTCCTTAGACCTTGGCTGGACAAAAAATTTTGCTCACCTGACATCACAACCTAAATTTAACCTAATATTGATGACTTATGATGTTGTGTGCCTGCTGGGCAATAACTAAATGCACTACAGAATGTTACGTTTACACATCGAACAAATTACATGTAAATGCATCAGCCTTTTATAGCGTAATGCTCACTACTCTTGAGTACTTTTGAAAGGTCTACTATTACTTTGAGTAATATTTACAACAGATACTCTTACTCTACTTGCACTACATTTTTAGACAAGTAATGGTACTAAAGTACGATTTTTCAATACTCTTTCCATCACTGCCTATAAGTGAAATAAGCTTTACTAAGAAAGAAAAAAAAATCTTTAAACAAATATAATAATCTTACACAATCTGATCTTGCATATAATTTTTATCTTAAAACAAGATCAATATTTTGTTTGGCTAGAAATAAGATCATAACTATTGACTAAGGAGTTTTCCAACTGCAGTCCTTTTCTAATTCATGTTACTAATATATGAAGTCAAATATTAGTTTTCACAGCATATGTATTCAAACGGAACGCCCTACAGCACTGAGCCTTAAGGATCCTGTTAAACATGATAAAGTAAACACTGTTTTATCCACAATTAATAATAAATAATCTTTTAAATCAATTAGTTTTGTTGATTTTACAACATTTTTCAGTGTCTCTCTTGGGTGTTGTTTTGTGTTAGTATACTTATAGGTTGTGTTCTGTTCCAGCTGGGCACTGTATCTCTGGCTCTGTTTCGCACTCTCATCGGCTTATACTGTGAGGATGTCATGCTCCAGTTGATTTTCAAGTAAGTTTACTTCTGCAGACCCTTAAAGTTTATTACTCATCTGTTGTACATCATATGTGTTTTTTTAATATCCTATCATAGTCTCACTTTTGGTATTCTATGAACTGCAGTATCATTGAGTCAGTTGTTTTTGTGACGGGATAATCACATTTCCTTTGGGTGTAGCTTTTCTATACCTTTTTTTCAACAGTATAATTGGACTCTCTGCACTCCTGACAGGTACCTGATCCCCTGTAACCACATGATGTTGAGTCAGCGTAGAGTCCTGAATGAGAGAGACTGTTACTCCGTGTCGGCCGCCAAGATTCTAGCCCTTACACCCTCTTGCTGCTCTCCCGAGATCATCCCCCCTCCTCTTAGACAGCTGGACTCAATCCTCTGGTCAAAAGGCACTGATGGCTCCCAAACTGGAACTATGGGTATGAATGTTGTTTACTTATTTTTTAATAAAATTCAGAATAAAATTAAGTTTTGCTTTTGTTATTACTTGTGGAAGACTCTAGCTATGTTTCCACCCAAAGATGCGAATTAGATTTATGTGCAAAACTGGAATTTTACATAAAACAATTGAGAATATAGCAACGTTTCTAGCCAATGAGTCAAGTCTGATTTATACTTTTGACTGCTCGCACACATCACGAAAAGGTCAAGGCTTTTATACTTGACGCACTCACTGTTGTGATATTCTTTAAAGTGACATGGCCTGTCAAAAGAAACCCACCGTAATATCAGACGGATAAACAGAGAAGTAGGAATTTACTGAAACTACATCATATTATAATCGTTCAAGATTTTTAAACAAATAATTTTTGTTACTTTTATAAATAATTTTATTGACTGTAAATATTTTTTTATAACTATTCAAGGTTCATCACTTGCTTTTATTCATATCTCGAATAGTTCTACCTATTAAAGTTAATAAAACGTCAATGACAACAGAATATGGAATATTCAATCAGAATATTGCTCTACAATTATATTTTTTATTAAGGAAAGAATAAACCATTATCACTAGTAAAGCCTAGAAAAATATGCTATCAGTATATTTTATACCAATAAGTTCAAATATTATTTTCCAGTTATCAAAGAAATAATTTTGTTACTTCATCAAACACAATCAGTTTTGTTTACTTTGAAATTGTTTTAAATTTAAAACTGTAATATACAGGTAAAGTCAGAATTATTAGCGCCCCCCCCCCCCCCTTTGAATTTTTTGTTCCTTTTTAAATATTTTCCAAATGATGTTTAACAAGCAAGACAATTTTCGCAGTATGTCTGATAATATTTTTTCTTCTAGAGAAATAATTTCTTATTTGTTTAATTTCAGCTAGAGTAAAAGCAGATAAAATTTTTTTCAAATAATTTTAGGGTAAATTTTTTTGCCCCGTTAAGCAAATTTTTTTTTTGGTTGTCTACAGAACAAACCATCGTTATACAAACACTTGCCTAATTACTCTATCCTGCCTAGTTAACCTAATTAACCCAGTTAAGCCTTTAAAGGGCCATGGAACCCCCTCGTTTCAGCAGGGTGTTTGCACACCTCTACTTTGGAAAAAGCCAGAAAAGTTGGCGTGTCCAGCTCTGTTTAGGGGGGAGTGTCGGAGGAATAAAAGAGGCACGGTGTGGGAGTGTCTATTTGGGCGCGCGACTGTGTTTACATGGGCATCTGTAGTCGAATTATTTGCCAAATTATTAAATGGTGGACTTTAACTGTCTTTCATTCAGAGAATTCATTCATGCCCCTCGCGACACACGAGATATTTGATTCGAAGAGCTACTCTAAGCGTGTATTTTTCATGCAATGTTTGATACCGCACGGCGAATGAGAGAAAAAAAAACTCAGCATTTCCCGGAAACTTAGATGCACACGGCAGGTAGCGTCAGAAAGCCGCGTGTTATTCCGGTCACAAAATGCGGTAAAAATCCTACACGAGGTTAAAGTTTGGTTGTAGTGCTAACATGTTTACAATCTGTGCAATAGTTTGTTCGATACGAACAAACTGAATAAACAAAGAGCACTGGTCGCTCACTTACCAAATCTGTAGAGACAGGACAATCACCAGCAACTAGAGCCGCGTCTTTATTAAGAGGAGAGTGAAAGCGAATCTGGATCTCAGCGTTTGCAGATGAGAACAGCTCTCAGGTAAACAATAATCCTCCTTAGACATGTAAGTTATTGTTGTCGAGCGTCGCGTACACTGTTAATCCACACGTGACTCTGAGCTCTCACAGAGAGAAAATGAAAACGAAACTTAACTGCAGCAAACTATAAAAGCAACACTTCACGCTTGTTTTGCCAACACAACGTGGCGTCTTTGTCGTCTAAACACTGTGACAGTAATGAATATTAGTGAAGTTGCACAATAGAGTGCGCTGATTGGTTTGAACCAAGCCTTACTCATGCATTAATGCATCACACTGTAAGACGTAATAAGACACACTCTGGCACAGATGTCCAGTCTGCATGCTGGAATACAACGCTATTATGTCATGACCGTGACGCAGCTTCAAAAATTCGTTTCAAACCGGAAGTACGAATTTGCTTGAAATAACGCAAAAAACAACCAATTTACACTTTTTAGTGAAATATAGGTGTCCTAATAGTGTTTTTAGCAGTGTGGGACACATACGACTGTCAACAGCTCAAAAAATGTGTTTTGGTGTTTCGTGACCCTTTAAATGTCACTTTAAGCTATTTAGAAATGTATTGAAAAATATCTAGGTTAAATATTACGTACTGTCATTATGGCAAAGATAAAATAAATCCGTTATTAGAGATTAGTTATGAAAACTATTATGTTTAGAAATGTGTTGAAAAAAATCTTCTCTTTGTTAAATGTGGAAAAAATATACGGGGGCTAATAATTCAAGGGGGCTAATAATTTTGACTTCACCTGTATACATCAGTGTAAATGAATGGTGGAAAAATATACTGCAATATTAAAACCACCTGGGTCTCCACTTTTGCCATGGCCTCTCTTTTTGGCTTTAACCAACTATCCCTCAGGTTTTTTTAAACTTATTGATAATAAAAATCCTTTCCCATGGCTGCTGCAATTTCTAGCCTAGAATTATTGTCCTTCTGGTTCTCCCTATGATCACACATGGACTGATCTATAAAGATGTCTGTACAGGCGTACCTGTTTCAGAAAAACTCTCTTTAAAGTGATTCATATTCAACTCAAATCAAATATGTCACCGTGCAAAATGTTTGCTTGAGTCTTAAAGAATTTTGTGTGCTCGGCCAGCCGAAATCATGTCGCGCACATTCAAAGTGAACCTCTGCCAGTACATCGATGAGGTCACATTCGCCGCGCGCACTCAAGCGAAGTAGCTGGCACCAAATATAAAAAAGGAATTTGCTTCATTAGGAAAAGCTACCGTGGCCTTTTTTATATATTAAATTAAGGACAAAGATGAAACTCAATGACTGTGCAGTTGCTTTTTGAGGCCTAAGATTGCTTATTGGGATCGCAGCAACTCAAGACAGAAGGTAATAATACCATACCACTTTGACACACTTTGGCTTAGGGATTTTAGGATGACCAAAACAACATTTCAAATCTTTTGCAATGTGGTTGGTCCACTTGCCAGTCTACTATCCAATTGCACCCATTTTTGTTATCACATGATCCGTTAAAGCAATATCACTCCATAGTTTCCATCGTTCCATAGTTTGTGCTCATTTTTTCTTATAGGATAAAATGTTTATCTGATTCAGTTGTACCAACAAGTTGCGTATTTTCCAAATTTCTACACATCTTGGTTTTTCCATTAAGTATTTTTATGCGATATTCCAAAATGCACATAAAACAGGTGGATTGAAACATAGCTAGGGGTGTTTCTTGTCATTTGACGTTGTAGTGTTCATAATGTGTAATTGAATTAATTTAATACATTTAAAATTTTAAAATGTTGACCTACATCAAAATTATGTTCAGTCTTGCTCCCAGAGACCAGCTGTTCTGCAAACTTTAGGTCAAACCTCAAAATTCTGTCATCATTTATTCACCCTCCAATTGTTACAAACAGGTTTTAGTTTCCATAGTATATTTTCCATAGTATTTTTCTTCCGTAGTATGGCTACTGGTTTACAAAAATTTTCACTATATCTTGTTTTGAAAAAAATTCAAAAAATGTTGGAACCAAGTGTGAGTAATTGATGAGAAAATGTCCATCCCCATGAACTATCCATTTAGGGTCAATTTGAAGATCTTAAGAATGATTAGAATCTTACAGACCTAAGTGTTGGGACAAGCTGAAGGTAAACTTTCCCAGACACTGGGCCTCAAAGAGCAAGAAATGGAGACCTCTGACCTAGATTATGCAAAGCCTTTGAAGAAGTAATAGTTTGGTAATGATGTTTTTCAAAGGATTTTAGGGTTTTAATGTCAAAAGTAAGTGTTTTTGTGCTGCACTGTTTGAAACAAATTCGGCTTACTGGAGTCCAGTTGGTTTGTGAGCTGTTTGAAGACTGAAATGCCGTTCATTTCTCAATGACTTCCATGTTCTTAATTAATCTGCAACACACTTAAGTTGTGCCTGCACAAAGTCCATTTCCTCTTTCTAGACTAAATCTGCTTATGTCTGTGCCTGTTATTAAAATGTTTACAAATGCAAACAAATTCCTGAGCTCTGATTGTGTTAGGACTGCTTGACAACTGTTTTAAATTTTCCCTTAGAAACAAAGGAGACCCTCTTAGCAGAGGATGACTGTGTAATTGGCTCAGAGATCTACCTGGATGTCAGTTACCTACACTATTTGTACGATGCTCGAAACAGCATTAGTCACTGTATGCGAGCATGCAGTGTGTGGTCTGCCCCTTACAATGGTGAGAACCCTCCTCCAGAGGAATACCAGCGCAGCACATTGGATGAAGCAAATAGAACTAGGTCATCAGTTGCCACCAGGAAAAAAACTAATTCAGTGTATAACTCTGGTCCACCCCTCAAAGACCTCTCTGCTACTCCTGGATTGCTGGATCTGGAGTGGGATGATAGTTATGATGCTTGTCCTGCACAAGTGCATACAGAAGAAGATCAGGAGACTCGCCACATCCCGGACGAGCCCCCAGAGCACATTCAAGAACTGAGGAGAACTGCTATTATGTTTGTGAAGGGCTCTTACATTGAAGAGTCTGAGTTTCAGAACGATGTTATGGTCTATAACCTTGTAGCTCAGAAGGACGCCAATGATTCTGGCAATAATTATCGTGATCCATCCAAACCTACTGAACCACAAAAACAGGAGGTCTTAGATGGACGAACAACTGATCAAAAAGCTAAAAATTCAGAATCCTCATTAAACAATGGGTTGAACTCCCCAGTTAATGAAATGGACAGTAAAAAGAGGGGGTCACAATCAGACCAAAAGCTACAAGGCCCAGAAGGGGAGGATCTTATGGCCCAGTATGAGGAACTGATTAGAACTCTAGGTGCACAGCCTAATAGTCCAACAAAAGCAGACAGTGAGCTCAAGAGTCGTGTTGACCTCATAGATGACGAGGAGGATGAAATGGACTTTAATTCATTCTCGCCAGAGACACCAGAAGCAGAAAAGTTGCCTTCTCCTTTTGGAACCAAACCTCGCAGTGGGAGCAAGGGTCATGCTGTGCCTTTTACAGGTCAGAAAACATGTTTTACTTAATCCACAGAATGATTTTACCTTTTTGTTCTTTTTTGTTCTGTCTGACATTTCTCCAGTGGACCCTTTTCACTATCGATGCACCGATATGGATTTTTTGGCCGATATCAATAACCGATAACACTTAGGATTTGGAGGCCGATAACCGATATACTATAGCCAGTAAATATTAATATTTTAAAATGTTATATTTTTATACAGTGAACAACTGATTTTATTTTAAAAACTTCATAAAAGTTTGAACTGATCTTGTGTTCAGACAGTTCAGAGCCACCGTACAAGTGAAAAACTAAATACACATTGTATGATTTACTTCAGAAAATGCAGCATAAATTCATCTTATATGGCATTTTAGATTCTTTTGAACACACAGAGGCTCTGCTTGTATATCAGACAATACTTCCAAGTGCGTTATTGCAGTCAATTGCGGGAAAAATGATCGATTCAATTTATTTATCGTTTATGATAAACCGATATGAGTCTTAAACTTGCGCGTACATGAATCAAATTTGTCCCCGTAGTCACATTTTGATACAACACCTGAGCATTGAGCACAGATGACTTTATGACAAACACAGTGCATAAAGACAGAACGTGGTGGAGGGTTGAGAACCCCTATGCTTGATTCAGTGACTGGCGCACCTTTCCCCTGCTGCTGTGAAGGCTCTGGCGGCTAACTAGTCACTATATGTGTGTGCGTGTGGTAATAGCCATCATGTGCGCTCGTTATAATCATAATAAATACGCCAATCAACTTGAATACAATCTTACATCAACAACACATGGCAAGCAATGTGTTGATAAGAACAAACAATCATATTAGATTACAAACAACCCAAAGAGTTGTTTAGCATGTGTGATTCGGTGCTATTGTGTTTACACATGTATTTTTTTTCTGAGGCGATTTAAAGCAAAATACACAATGACACTCTATCAAACAGGTCTACAATGATAAGGAATATGGGTACTTACTGAGATGTTAACGCACAGCAATACCACACAAAGAAATGACGGACTTTGAAGGAATAATAAATGTGAGGAATGCGCCTTTATAGTGCACGGGAAAGGTCTGAACAAGTTTGACCCATGCATGCGCGAGGCTGGCAGTTCTGTACTATTCTGTAATCTATCGGCTTAAAGATATCAGCCTAATTTTGATGTCTGATCATAACCATAACAATTAAAATAGCATTTATCGGCTGATAATGATATGGCTGTCGATATATCATGCATCCCTACTTTTCACAAGACTGTCATGATGCTTTTAGCGCTCATCAGCATCTTAAATCTTTTGAAAGTTTTTAATATTTAGATTTTTAAACAACGTATAAACATTTATATGTATTTATGTATGGATTATAACATCTTTGCGTCAAATTACACAAAATGAATAACTGATTGTGGCAGGTGTTAAAGTGTGTATGGAGAGTACAGTAAATTTTATGTTTTCTCTTCTGGCTATCGTCATCTGTCACACACAATTTTTTCCTTTTTCTGAAGGTATTGATAACAACATTGTGGAGTTTGTCTTCTATTATTTGAGCAAATAGGATTGTAAAAAAATATTTGTTGTATTCTCCCATTCACTGCACTCTTAAGTTTACCCAACCGTAGCGACTTCAGCTATAGAGAAACCTGGAAATATAAAAAGGGTCCGTTTCCCCATCTGGTACACTATTTGAGGAGATAACCATTTGCAGTGGTGTCATTAACTATAGGGGACATTATCAAATGCATTATTTACTGTAAATCTCACAATGCACCTCAATAACAACTGTGTACACTCAAAAGTTCAGTGGAATGTGATTTTATGCTGCTATTAATCATTTATATTATTTTTGCTTAAGTATCATAGTGGTTGATGTTTTTAGAGTTTCATTCCTCTTGTCTCTCTTAGGGCCGTTTGTGAGTGTACTGTTGTCTCGACTAGAAAACATGCCCAGTAACACTCTCCATGTGAACTTGCTTCTGACCGGCATCCTGGCTCAGTTAGCCGCTTACCCTCAACCCCTGCTGCGATCTTTCCTTCTCAACACAAACTTGGTGTTCCAGCCTAGTGTCCGCTCACTATACCAGGTATTAAACACTAACTAATCTACATATATGAATCTCCATTCATGAGTTTTAAAAGAAATTAATCCATCCGAGCGTGGCTCAAATCTATTTTCCCAAATCACATTCTTAAAGGGATAGTTCACCCAAAATTGAAACTTTTTTGTTAATTTACTCACCCTCACGTCATACAAAATGTAGGTGACTTTTCATTTCCTCAAGTAGGACAATAAAGATGATTTTTAGCTGAATTTGTAGTTTAGAAATCTTGGTAACACTTTATTTTGGTGGTCCATTTGAGTATCAGTAGACTGTCTGCTTAATATCTGTTGATACTGCTCCTTTAACAAATTTAACTGGCTAAAAGAAACTTTGCAAGTAACCCTAACCCCAACCCCAACCCTTAATCCAACCTAACAGTCTACTTTTAGCCTAATGAGAATTAGTTTTAATGTAACTTAAATTCAACAAACAGACCATCAAAATAAAGTGCGACCGAAATCTTTATTGATTTCTATAATGGCAGTCATTGTTGGTTACCATTTCCTTTAGATTATCAATAAATATACACAAACAAGTCCAAATCAACAGTCAAAGCTCCACTGCAACACACTGATGTATTTTGATGTGGAACATTCAGTCTGTGTTGGATCTACATCCTTGACAAAAAGTTCTCAGGATGCAAACAAGCTAATAATATTGTAAATAATGTTCATTGAGTATTCAATTTTTATTTTGCTTCATAAGATCTCAGTGTATCACCAGGAGGCATGAAGATTGAATTAAATTTGTTCAGAAGTGTTTATTTTGAATCTCAAAAATGGGTGACCATTGAATATTTTATATTATAATTGTGATTTTATTTAAATCACCAAGGATAACACATTCAGCTAAAAAGCTTCTTTAATGTTCTAAAAAAATTTACATACACCGTCAATGGCATGAGGGGGGAGTATATTACTTGTAAATTTAACTTTTTGGGATGAACTATCCCTTTTATTTTAGTTATAGTAGAAAAAATGACTCTGTTTAATTCAAATGTCAAAATTTTAGCATTTTATTTAAAGATATCTGCTCTCACTTAATTGATAAGCAATGTTGGTTTTTGCTAATCCTCAGATTCAATACAATAGCTATCATTTTTTTAAATTTCAGATATGTTTGTGCTTTTCAGGTCAGTATGTAGGTCAGTTTAGAAAAATTACCTGTTAATATGGGGCACCTTTAAGAGCTTGCGAACATTGCCTTTGGATTTGAGGAAAAAAAAATAGTATTTGGGCCACTCTGAGATGTGGTGTGAAAGGAACCTTTGTGTCTGCAACTATAAAACATTACACATCCTGTAATATCAAACCAACTAAAACATAATCAGTGGCATTATATAAAGAAGTGCTAAAAGTATGCACTCAATACTTGCAGTATTATTGAGATTTTTCCTTTGGCAGGGTAATAGTAGAAAACGTGTCTCTTAAATAAACATGCGGCCCTCAAAATGTCATATAACAGAGCAATATCATCATCTTCCAGTCAGTTCGTGTCTCTACAGATATCTATTTCAATAAATTAACCAAATTAACCCAGTTTCATATCATTACATGAGATAAAAGCAGATACATTTAAATGCATAGCACAATAGTAAAAAAAAGCCTTCTGACTCCATTTACAATTCTGTCAATCTACATTCATCTACATAACTTTGTGTCTGTTGATAAACAAATAAAGCAACAGATCTAACAAATGCCATATAAAGATGTGCTTTTAAACAAATCTTTCACCTTTTTAAAATTTCTCCCAAAATAAAGAGATAAATCCTAAGGTGTCATGGTTTAAAGTGATGCAGTGAATTTATAGCAGCCAAGTCATGTGTATAGTCTTAGAGTCATTTATAACAGTTCAGAATGTGGCTTAACCAATCAGAATCAAGTATTGGAGCTATCCCTTTTATATATGAAAATTTAGTTTGTATATTTTTTTCTTTATTTTTTAAGGTGATTGTATACATTGATTTATATAGACGGGAAATTCATTGCAAACAAACACAAACAATAAATAAATAAATAAAGCTATGGAAGTTGACGGTATGCCCAAGATGGTGAGAACAGACTTTTTTTGAGATTTTTTTTTTAGATTATACTGTCACTTGTGATTGAAATTCAGTGAATAAAGCATTACGAATTTGAAGAAGTGAACACTTATATTACATACACTCCCAGTCTAAATATTTAGAACAGTAAGATTTTTTTTAGATTTTATAAAGTAGTCTCTACTGCTTAACAAGCCTGCAGAGTACAGTAAAAATCTGCATATTTTGAATTATTTCTTTCACTATTTAAAAAAGTAAAACAAACCAAAAAAGTTTTCTTACATATCTAATAACTTTTCAAATGTAATTTATTGCTGTGATTTTAAAGCTGAAGTTCTAGCATCTTTACTTCAATCACATGATCCCTCAAAGCATTCTAATAAGCTGATTTGGTGTTCAAGGAAAGGTTAATATTGTTATCAATATTTATCTGTAAGAGATAAATTATGACTTGATGTATTTTAATAATGCTACTTTTTATAACCAAAACGAGACATATTTATTGACAAGTGTTCATTTGGGTGTCAGACCAATGTTAAAACAAAACACATTACAAAAACAGAGCATTTAAAAACATCTATAGCTGCATCATCCTGGATTCGAACCTATTATATTTGCAAGCTAGTCAAGAACTCTCAACTCTTCTCTCAACTAAATCACTTAAAACCTCAACTCTACAATGTGGGGTTTAATACCTCAATTTGCTTAACTGTTTCTTTTGTATTGCTTTCTTGTTCCAGAGCAATACATAAAAATGACCACTATAGTATAACTGCAGAGATGGGTTTTAAAACGCTTCTAAGCTTAGACACATTTGCTTTGACTGTTTCAGTGTTTCATGAAGCCTTGCTTTGCCAATCACAAGTAATCATTATACAGAGAATGACCAGGCAAAAGTCGATCAAAGGAGCAAACGGGTACATACAGGTAATCCAAAAAAACATTGTTAAAAACAGGCGAATTTTTAGGACAGGCAGCAAAAACAATGGAAACTATAAAACAAGACAAAGGGTCAAAAACACAGCTAGACATGTCAACACAAGAAAATGCTTTGTGGTGTTACAAAAACAGACACAAAACCCGTTAATTATGTGTGTGCGCTGTTTATAGTTTATAACAATAAGGTATACTTCTTTATATCCTGGCAGTGTTGCCAGGTAGTATTATGCAAAAAAAAAAAAAAAACAACAAACTAAAGCAAGCCCCCCCCAATCGCTTACTTCATATTCCCACTAGTTAAAGCCCAAATTACTTTATTAACACTGTCATAGTATTCATTTACAGTTATTCTGAATAACTTCAGCTGTGTATGTTTGAAGTCAAGGGGAATCTGGGACAGGTGTATGAGTGAAGTGCATGGTGGGATTTGTAGTGCAGTTGAATGTGAGTGTTCTCATTTATTTACATTTATTTAGCAATGATGCTTTAAATTAAACAAAAGTGAAAATATTTTGATTTAAGATAAATTCTCTTCTCTGCACCTTTTTTATTAATCAAAGAAAGAAAATATGAAAAAAAATTTACTCTGATGTTGTCAACGTTATAGTCTGATTAAAAAAAACTTTTTTTTTTTTTTTTGCAGCAAATCAGCAACTAAGCATAATTTCTGAAGGATCATGTGATTGGAGTAATGATGCTAAAAAGTCAGCTTTAAAATCAAAGGAATAAATGACATTTTAAAAGATGTTTAATGTCAAAACAGTTTATTTAAATGGTAAAAACAAACAATTACTTGTATTTATCTCTTCCTCTTTAAAAAAAAATATACATCTTACTGTTCTAAAACTTTTGAAAGGTAGTGCAGCCTATACTAATATAATAATATGTAATATTTCAAGCTTGAATTACATACTGTTTTGAAATTAAGAACCAGTTTTACAGAACTTGAGCTTTACATGATTGAATTCACAGGATTGGAGTCACTGCATTCTAATAACGGACAAAATTAATAAATCACATGAAGTGGTTTGAGTGATCCAAACATAGACTTTTTTACCTATTGTATCTCTATATAGCACTGTCACTGTGTGATGATCACCCACATGGCTTTAAATATTGTCATTGTTGCATTGAGAGGAACATGGAATCTGTTTATTTATTCATTTCCCTTGCCTTTCCATTTTGATTTTATAGGTTCTGGCCTCAGTGAAGAACCAGATAGATGTATGGTCATCAAAAAATAAAGACTCCTCTGAGCTCCTCACAGCCGCTCAGCACTGCCTACTGGCCAGAGAGAGTTCACTAAGAGGTCAGAGTATGTTTATATCCCTTCAGCCATGTTTCATAAAGACATAGTGTATTCACATGTAATAAACACTTGACCTTTTTAATGCACGGCTTAATCAGTTGTTAACTTTGAGGTTTTAAATGTGTTTATTTCATATGCATACCTGTAGTGGCTGTCTGCTACATTCTTGCTTTCTGAAGAAGTCTGTTGTACTTAATTGGTGTGGTTAGCTTGTTCCTGGTGTATGTCTTGTACAAATCACAGCGTATGTCTCATACACAGTGTACATCTTGAAAATAATCAAGAAACAAAATCCTATAGGGAAGTTGACAAGGTTTAGCCAGGTTTATTGTTGCACTTTTAGTTCAGCAGTTTGATATTTAATATGAATTTTCCGCAATTTTCAGAAGACCAGGGCCTAATGTTCAAAGACTTGCATTGAATTAATACTAAAACATTGAGCACGGGCATGTGCGTACGCAGTAAAAAAATCTGATGTATGAAACACTGCGTATGCGGAATCCCATGCATATTCTCTTTGTACATCCGAATTAACTTGAAATTGAGCCCAACATGCAGCAGCGCAAAACCCCACCCTGCCTCCTCCCCTGTATAAATATGGTAATGACTCCACTTTGGCAAAACCAAACGAAAAAGCAATGACAAAAGCAAGCAAGAAAAAAACAGGGGATGCTGAACTAACACCCTTTAAGGAGAGAGTTGCCTCAATTGTGGGTGACACTTTACTGTCGGAAGTAGTATCCGTGTCTGTGGGAGACACAGATGTATTTTTGTGGGTTGTTGAGGGGGGTTAACAGCCACGTCTTTAATGGATAACTGCTGTCTCCTGATATGCAGTTAAATAATTACGCTCAATAAAATAAAATAACCCATCGCGCACCGCACATCATCGTGGGCCAGAAAATCACAGTGATCCCAAAAAAATGCGTTCCCTTCAGATTCGACCATTGACAATGTCCTCTAATAAGGCCAACACTGCCATTGCCATAGACAAAGGGTTGTATACATTTGCAAATGCTTTTATGTTCCAAATCACATAATTAGTAAAAAATATATATTGTGTCAATTAACAAATTTTGTCAATTATAAATTAATAGCAATGTTTTTCACATGAGTTGGTGCGATACGTTGTACATGATACGTTAACATAATTGCCTCTAGGAGTCGCCAATGGAAAAAACAAACACACACAAGAAATACCAGTATGCCAGACATGAAGTTGGCGCAGACCTACGCACATTCTCACGTTAGTTTCATCGTTAGTAAATCCAAACACGAGCGTGAATCCTGCCGTACGCAGTGTTGTTACATGAGGCCCCAGTTGTTTGGCCTTTGGGCTTTCTGACAAACCGACAAATTTAAACCAGTGATCTCAAAAAAAGAAGAAAAAAATAAACTTAAATGTATTTAATTATATTTAAAAACAGGGTCTATTGGGGGAAAAAAAGATTTTTAATATTTAATAATAAGTACGCAAATATGCATGCATGAAAGTACAAAAGAATAAAGACAACAAACAATATAAAGTTTTTCTACAAACATATTTTTAAAGTTGAAAATATAAATCACATAGTATACAAATTATCAAAATTGATAACAATAAGGTATACTTCTTTACATGGGCAGAGTTGCCAAGTAGTATTATGCAAAAAAAAAAAAAAAAAACTAACTAAAGCAAGCCCCTCCACCCCCCAAAAAACGTACCGAACAAGATACAGAATCTCTTACTTTAAACCTAATATTCCCACCCAAATAGTTAAAGCCCAAATTACTTTATTAACACTGTCTTAGTATTACAGTTTTTTCCAATTGTTTACACACATTTTCTGTAAGCAGGTCTCATGTTGTCAGAACTCTACACACAAATCACAAATCACACACACATTGGGCAAAACTCTTCAATCCTTCTGCAAAATGAAACTCTACATTCAAAACGATGTGATTTCTTATCAAAATGGTCTTTTGTTTTCAAATGAAACACACAAGCCATTACATCAATAGACAATTATAAGAACAGTTGAACACTGATGTGCTGAATGTAAAACACTCTGACCATTCATCATAATGACTTACTGTCAGTCTTTTTTGTTCAGTGTTACGCTTACTACAGACAGACAGTACATAGGCCTACAGAAGTGCACTGTAAAATATTTTAAAATATAGTTTTATACAAAACACACAAATACCAAATACATTTTACTGTATTTCCCCCACAAAAACTGTGTACACAGTGTTCGTCCCAACCAACACAAAGTTGTAGATAACGTTGTCTACATGTACCATCAACAGAAGTATTTACAGAATACAGTTACAGTAAAAAAATAAAAATAAAAATAAAAAAACAGCTATACTGCATCTTCCTTTATGTTTTGGTCTGGCCAAGCAGTGGGGGAAATGTCACCTTGCATGGCGAATCCAGCCATGAAAAGCATCAACTGCTATTGCTTGGAAAAGGGGTATACGTGTGTGTGTGGATTTCGGTCATACACTTTCCATCTCCAGACAGAAAAACAATTACTCAATAGGTTTGAGGAATGGAGAATATGGAGGGAGATAAACCACTAAAAATTGAGGGTGGGCAGTGAACCAGTTATGATCCAGATGAGTTCTGATTTCTAAATTGAAATTCTGTGAGACAAGTGTTTACTCATGTGATGAGTTAGTATGTGTAAAGTAAGGCAACTGACTTTACAATTGTGAATGACAGTGTGTTCCTTGTGAAAACAAAAGATTTTCTGCATGAAAATTGTGTAAAATGCAGAGAATTGTGTGTAGTGTTTTTAAAAAAGTGTATTGTAAACATGCAATTTGAGTGTAAAGCAGGAATTGTGCTTGTAGTTTAGCAGAATTGGTTCGGGGGGTGGTTCATCAGTTACATGTTGTAGAAATTGTGTCTGAAGTACAAGTAATTGTTTGTAAACAATTGAAAAAAACTGTAATTTAAAATCCTTTAAAAGCATATGGTATTTTGTTTTTAAAATGATACACACCTGCATTAAATTATACACCGTATTAAATAAATACACCGGGTCACTAGACCTGGGATGGCAAATGCTTTTTCTCTGGGTGGAAATTGCCATCCCGATTGATTCACTCATGCTTCTTGCGCACCAATTGAGCATGTTAGATTCTTCAGGAAAGATAAATAACAGATACTATGTTTTAGGAATGTATATGTTTTGCCTTGTAGTGTAAGAGTAGAGTTTAATCTGCTCTATTTCACTGAGTTTTGTATATATTTGAATTAGAGAGATAATCCTTTCAATAAGAATGTTTAGAAATCACAAAAGATGTTTCTGACTTTCCTCCCCATTCATTTCAATCTAGATCCTCAAAGTTCACAAGCTGAAGATGCTTCTGAGGCCGACCGAATCAAGAGGAACTCCGCTATTCAACCCAAAACTGTGGTTCCCCTAAGCAAAACAGAGGTATACGCCACAGTTCTGTTCGCCGAATTCTTAAAAGAACTGGCAGCCATTGCACAAGAACACTCCATCCTCTCTCATCTTCCCACAGAGCAGTAGTCTTCAATTGTGCTTTTAAATTTATTGTTTTATGTTACCAGGAAACCTCAGAACTTTTGACATTTTGAATGAATTTTAGTTTTTATTGCAAGAACTATAGCCTCTAAATTAATTTGGGAATGTCTTGTTGTAAATAATTTTGAGGGAGTATCCTTTCGGCATTTGTTTGTCTGCTGTGTGAACAACATTGTCTTTAAATTTCCATCATTTTGGTTATTACTAATACCCATTGCAGCACAAATGATCACTCATATAATCATATATTTATACTGGTGTTTTCTTTTTAAAATAGCCATTTTTATTGAAAAAAAAAAAGTGCATTTTTATTGCTTTTCAGAAAAACAGTCTCTATCTCCACTATATAGACTAAAATGCATGTTATCATTCCCAATCACTGCATGCCTCAGTCCGTTTACTATTTGTATACTGTTTGTATGGTCATATGATCAGGGCTTGACGAATGAACAGTATGTGATAGTCCAGAAGACCAGTCAGAGAGCGATTGTATTCCAAGCTATGCCTCTTTTCAAGGGCACTATCATATATCCGGTGCAATGAATCACAAGACGTGTTTTCAGACCAGCGCAACCCTAATTTTCATGTTTTGCACCACATTGTTTAAATAGCAAAATCATTTTTGCCACTTTGTGGACACATTGGGTGTGCTGCTCTGTAAAGAAGGCATGTTGAGGTGCATTGTTAGCGCGTTGCTATTTTGAGGAACTGAAATGGACTGTGCTGGACTTTAGACAAGATTTTACCTGGTCAATAGCAAAAAGCGCGTTAGTTATGCGCCTATGTAGGTTCAAAGGTTTAATATACAGGATGTACAGCAATACACAAATATCTTTACATATGAAAAATAAATTAAATATTACAAACATTATTTTTTTACATTCTGTAAATATAAAACCACTGCCTCCATTTGCATAATGTTGTTATTATTATTAGCAGTATTATTTATTATATGCATACAGTTGAAGTAAGAATTATTAGCCACCATTTGATTTAAATATTTCCCAAATGATGTATAACAGGGCAATGGAATTTTTTACAGTATGTTTGATAATATTTTTCTTCTAGAGAAAGTCATTTTTTTGCTTTATTTTGGCTAGAAACAAAAGCTGTTATTAATTTTTTAAACACCATTTTAAATTATTAGTCTCTTTAACCTATAATTCAGTCAATAATTCTGACTTCAACTGTATTTATATTTGCTTTAATAAAAATCAGTTTAGTTTTGTCCACCTGTCTGGTTTTGGTGACATCTGCATCACCATATGAGGCATAAACATAGGATATAAAACTCAGTTTTTTGAGCACAATTCATTGTTGTTGTTCGTTTATTTGTTTGTTGGAAACTAGAACTGAATTTAAAAATAGTTTTGAAACAAATCTTTGCGCTTGACAAACACAATTAAATATGTAGGCTAATGGATGTCTTCAGCTGAGTGCGTACAACACCGTTTCCTTATTCACCAAAGTAAAAAAGTAGAGTCAAAAAGTAAAGAGTAAGAGAAAGTAAAGTTATTTTCGTACACATGGTTTGTTTAACTGTTTTTTTGCCTGTAAAGTGTTTGAACCCACATAGGCGCATACCTAACGCTCTCTGCCCTGGACAAAGTGACACAAATGGATTTGCTATTTAAACAATGTGGCGCAAAATGTGAAAATTAGGGTTACACTGGTCTAAAAATAGCAACAAATCATGCTAAACACATCTTGTGTCTTATTACACTGGGTGTATGGTAGGCCCCTTAGATTTTGTGCCTACATCTTTAAATATAGAGCCCCAAATCTTTGCGTTTCAATCCATCTACACTGAAAACAAACACGAGCATTACCAAACAAAAACAGCATCTTCAGCATCTTTGACAAACAAAAATGGTGTGTTGGAAAGTGCTGGAGTCGTGTGCACGGCTGGTTGAACGTTAACAAAAATAACAGATTTTAAAACAAAACCACACTAGTGTAAACAGCTAAATCTCAATACCGAGCAATCACTGCTGCAGCACAAATCATTACTCAAACATCAGGAGTTGTTTACACAAGTGCGGTTTTCTTTTAAATAGTTTTTTTTGTATGAAAATGCTCTTCACTCAGACAGGTGAAGAAAAAAATTACAATTTCTTTTTAAACACTATACAGCCTAAAACGCATACAGTAAAATCTGACCATTTATGCTCACTGGACATGTGCGTATTTTTGTATTTGTGTTTCGTATTTGTATTTGAACTACTAGTTACATATAGAGTATGGTTATGTTACGTATTTCATATTCAAACTGCCAGTTGCTCATGGTCATAAGCTCATTTCAGCATAGATGGACTGAAACAGATTACCAGCTTTCACAAACTAAAACAGGGTCTTTGGCATCTTCACCCACCAATTTTAAATATGATAGACTATCATTTTAGACCATAACAAAACGTAAGCATTTTAAAACGAAAAACGCACTAGTGCAAAGAGCACCTCAGTATCACCTGCCGTTAAACAGAGCCATTTCAAGGTGACTTGTGGACTCAAGTGCTGGACAACAGGTAACTGAAACTAAAGGTAACTAACGAAGCATTAGATTATGGAGATTACATGGGATTGTTTACCCAAAAATGAAAATTCTGTCATCGTTTACTCATTCTCCACTTGTTTTATTTCTTTTGTTAAACTTAAAAGAAAAAATATACTAAAGCATGTTGGAAAAAACAGTCACCGACTTTTATACTTATATTTATACATGGCAATGGCTGTGTTGTTTCCCCAACATTCTTCAGACTATCAACGAAAGAGATTTTACTCAGAAGTAAGAAACTGAGTTTTCTTTTGCTGCTTGTTCAAACTAATAACATTGAAATAACATCTTTCTTAAGGTTTTTTTTGGACAACTTAAGGGTTTTATGTTTAGTTTGCTAATCAAACCTTTTCAGTTAACCTAATCAATTTGAGGTGAGACAACATGAAGGATTTATGTGGAACGCAGCATTTTTGTACAGTGTAGAACCTGAAATGGTGATGAAGTTTTCATTTTTGGCTGATCTTTCCCTTTAATAAAACCAATGATGATGATTGTTTGTAGAATGTACAGTGACCTTGTCTTTTTGCTGGATTTTAATCCCATGATGGCCTTACTCTAAACAGTGCCTGTTCCTACCGTCCTTAATTTTCAACATTGCCTTAAGAGTTTTATATACAGTAAAGATACTCTGTCAACCTGTACAACAGTCATTTTATACAGTACATTTGACCAACCTGTGGGACTTCTGGGCTGCTTTCCATTTTTATGTCCTTTCCTCCATCTAGTTGACTTGTATGTTGTTCCTTACATTAATTATAATGGAAGTGAATAGAATGCCCTACACCATTCAGCTTTTGGAAACTACTATGCACTGCAAATGCAAACTGCTGTTGTAATGTAACAGTCTTATTGCTTTATAGGCCATGTATGTGTCTGTACTGTACATTTTAAGTAAATTTGCTCTCTGTCAAAATCTAGGGTTCGTCTATTAGTCCAAAGTCCACTTGAAAACTTAAGTGTGTCTAAAAGTGGAGTGGAACGCAGCCCGGGAGTTTCTCTACAATTCTGACACTTTCTGGTTCTTTGTAAGGCATCACTGATGTTGTCTTGGTACTTTTCACAATTTCTATGCAGCACAGAAGTAACTTTCTTTTGTGGGGTAAGATTTACACGAACATTCAAAAGTTTGTGGTCATTGTCAAACTGTTATTTTAAATTGTTTTTGAAAAGGGTAATTTTCCCAAAATTGAACATTTCCACACATACAGGTGATTCTAAACTTTCTTCTGTTGAAATCAAAACAAGTTATTCTGAAAACCGTTGGGAAAAAGTAGCTATTAACATACTAAGGAAGTCAATGATGGTTTTTAGTCTCACAACATTCTTCATTTTATTTTCCTTTGTGTTCAACAGAAGAAAGAAACTCAAACAGGTTTAGAACAATCTGAAGATGTGTAAACAATGGCAGAATGTTTACTTTGGGGTGAACTATCTATTTAATGACTAGTTTATATTCCAGAAAATTGATGGAATGTTAAAAAAAAGGTCTTTGTTCCAGAATTATAGCATCTGCTGGGGAGGATTTCATCCACTCTGGGGTAGGGAATTTACGATTCACCTTGAGCCGGTTGAAAATCGTTTAAAATATATGATGATAAAAAACAGTAGAAATGTTGAATCAATTGTGATATCTTTTTTTGAGCAGAGGGGGTGATGTTTACAAATGCAAACTCGCTTTACCCGCACATCAGCATAGAGCAAGAGGTGGGACGGCAAAGTAAAATCACAGCAGCGAAGTGCACCAGACAAACTGTGTGCAGATCCCTCAAAAGACGTTTACTTGCATTAACAACACAAGGAATATGATGCATATAAACTGTCAGCACAGCGGAAAAACAGTCTATATGGAAAAAACAAACAAACCCCTGCTGAATAATGCTGCCTAGGCTGGTTAGCTGGTCGACCAGCCTGGTTTCAGAGGGGTTTTGGCCACTTCCAGGCTGGTTTCCAGCCATTTCCAGCCTGGTCTTAGCTGGTCAGGCTGGAAAGTGACCAGCTAAAACCACCTAAAACCAGTGTGACCATCCTGGTTTAAGCTGGACATAGCTGGTTTTGGCTGGGCTCCCAGCCTGGCTAGGCTGGTCAAACTGGTTTTAGCTGGTCATCTCCCTGCATGACCAGCTAAAACCAGTCTGGAAATGGCTGGAAACCAGCCTGGAAGTGGCCAAAACCCCTCTAAAACCAGCCTGGTTAACCAGCTAAAACCAGCCAACCATCCTAGGCTGGTTTAAGCTGGATTTTTCAGCAGGGACAAAAAAAAAACCCCCAAAAAAATATTGATTAGCCAAACCATGCGGACCGGATGGTTTGCAGTTTTGCAATGAACATCACACTGTGCATCAGTGTTAGTTTGAACATGTTTTTCAGACTGAAAGAGAAAGTTGCTCTCTTACAGAATTTTCAAAATAGTTTAAGAAAAAGAAAAGGCTCTTTACCTTAAATTTATTTCAAATAATTTTGTTTAAAAACCGTGACTAAATCATTTCATGGGATTAGTATTGTGAATTATATTGAATATTGAATCGTTACATCCCTACTCTAGGGTGATTTTGAGTCTTAATTTGGCCACAACTTTCTCTGTTTCAGCAAATGGAATGATTTTTGGTGACAGATCTTATTTTGGCATATATATACAGCTGAAGTCAGAGTTATAAGCCCATATTGAATGTTTTTTTTTTTTTTTCTTTTTTAAATATTTCCCAAATGATGTTTAACAGAGCAAGGAAATTTAATTTTTTAACACCATTTTAAGGTCAAAATTAATAAATCAGGGGGGCTAATAATTCTGACTTCACTTGTATATTTGAAAAATGCTTTGAAAATGTAAAAAATTAACAATACACTCTGGGCAAATTTACTACCCTTTTGTTTTGTTCGTCACTGTTTTAGCCCTATTGACTTCTATTTTTAATTTAGCATTTTTTTTTTATTGCAAAGTCATGACACCATATTATCTGTATTCTTGATTGTTGCTGGTTTTCTCTGTTGGAAGAGGTACAGGTTTTTTTTTTCATTCTTACTGTTGATCTTCAGTTGCAGTGCAAAAAAAGCTGTTTCTGCCTTCTATTTTGTGTGTGTGTGTGTGTGTGTGTGTGTGTGTGTGAGAGAGAGACCTTAGTGCTCTTGATATGTCTGAGAAAATTAAAATAAGCACCTCAGCTCTCAAAACATAGTAAGTGTATTTTTTGCACAAACACATTATAATCTGCTATTTTGCTTTTTAGAACTCCATATTAAAGCCAGAAATATTTTTTGCACCGACCTATCTAAAGGGTTAATGGTGCCAACTGATGATCAACAGTTAAAAACAAAAAACAAAAAAAAAAACACACATTTTCCCAACAGAGAAAATCCACCAACAGTAAAGAATGCATGATTTTATGGTTTCATTGCTTTGCAATCAAAAAGTCATTATAATGAAGTCAATGTGGCAAAAACAGCTACGAACATATTGAAAGTGTAGTAAATCTGAACAGTACACAAGGGGTAAATAAAGAAATGTATTTTAAACTGTAACACTATTTTTGACTGTATTGTTGATTGAATAATGGTGAGCACAAGATATTTTCAAAATAATTATAAACCACAAACTTTTGAATGTTAGTGTATTAAAATACTTTTTTTTCCCCCCACAAAAACTATTTTAAGGTTTAGCTTTGTATTTTCAGAATGAATTACTTATGCATGAATAATATGCAGTTTCAGTGCATCAAAACACCAAAGGCATGAGAATGTGTCCTTAGTATCAGAGAAATGTTGCCTTGATTTCACAGTAGTTTACTGTCTCCAGATGTAATGTTATACTATATATCAAAAGATCACCTGATACCTTTGTTTTTAGTTTAAACTGATGTTACATGGTGCACCGTAAGCATTGGTTGTTTTCACCAGCAATAATTGAAATGAAGACACTTGATTTATTTCCTTAAATGTACTCAGGAGGCTTTGAATAATTCAAAGTCTTTTTTTGGAGGCTGAATGTCTTTCCTGAAGCCCCTGCCTGATTATGTCAATCAAAACTTTATTACCAAACATCCCGAGGCCCCAGATGTAACTTGTTAATCCAAAGATCTTCATTATGCAGTTTTATGAATTGTAGGTTTTACTGAGGGGGACAAGGGCTACTGTAGATTAGAAATGTTAGATTCAATTGGTTCTGAGGGTTGGAGCAATGCTTTTATTACACATCTTTGTACAGTTCTGTATGTTCTTGGTTGTAAAAAGAATTGTCAATCTGTAGAAACTTCACCAGCTCATCAGTTTATATTTAGACAGGAACATGTTAAGCATTTTCTGTTTACTAAATGGAATTCTGTCTCACAAATATATTGAGGTACAGTATGAAATCTTGAATAAAGAACTTGAACCTGGCATACAGTATGACTGAGTGAAGATTAATCTGTGCTGGAATGGAGGTGAGCATCATTTTTTCTACTGCTTTTTTTACTTGGTGTTTTTTATGTATCTATAATTAATCACAGAAGAGACGCTCAAACCCTCCTTTATTAGGACGCTGAAAACTTTAGAATGCAAACGGGACAGCAGTTGAACATGACAACTTTCTTAAACTTTATAAATCCAAAATGTTGTTTCAAGCAACCCAAAGATGGAATTTTCTGTCACACTTTACAATAAGGTTTATTAGTTAATGTTACTTAATGCATTTACTAACATGAACAAACAATGAACGATACATTTACTACAGTATTTGTTTTAATGTTAGTTAACGTTAGTTAATGAAAATACAGTTGTTCATTGTTAATTCATGTTAACTCATGGTGCATTAACTATACCAATCATGAGTTTGGATGTTTATAATGCATTAGTAAATGTTCAATTATGATTAATAAATGCTGTTCAAGTGTTGTTTATGATTAGTTCATGTTAGTAAATGCATTAACTAATGAACCTTATTGTAAAGTGTTACAGAATTGTCAGCAGAAGAGCAAAAGGTTGTTTAAAGTCATTTGTTTTAGCAAATGTACATTCTTTACCATTATTTTACCAAAAACTTTACCATTATTTACAAAAGACACTCATTCAGTCAAAGTTCAGGTTTAGTGTATACCAAAATATTTTCTCTTTTTAGTAATAAAATTTTAATAATTTTCATATATACATTTTTACATAGTTTCTAAGCATACAATTTAATTTACAGTAGGTACAGCTTTTAGCTTTTGATTATGCTGTTTCTTTTTTATATTAATGGAAACATGAAAAAAAATATATATAATACATTTTAAATACAAAACAATTTCAAAGTGGGGACACTTTTTTTATTTGATTTGTACACTAAAAAGTATCTATGGACAGTTCAGTTCTTTCAATCTAATTATTTTCATATGATCATATTTTCTTTATTATTATTTTTGTTCTGCAAAGTATCTGATGAAACTTAAAATTTCCAAATAAAAATGTTTACAGAGTAAAATGACATTTGTCCAACAACTAAAAAGGCCTTTATATTCATTTGCAGTCCACACAATATCAATGTTTTCAGAAAGTACTATTTTGTGGAATTTTCAATCAAACCAAACACAAATATTTGCTATTTACAAGGAAAATCAAGGATTTACTTTTATAATGTTATCAAACTTTAATAGAATCAAAACAAAATACACTTTACTCAAACACATAAAAACATGTCACACTATTGGATTTAACTGTCCTAATGACCACTGTTCTCTATAACAACCCCCCCCCCCCCCCTTTTTTTTTTAAGTGCTCATATTGTGATATCTTAGTATTTCTATTATATTTTAGCTGAAAGAGTGATATCACCACTGGTATCTTTTATGGCGTTTGTAAAACTCAGGCTCCAGCAGAGGGCGCCAGTTACTCATATTTCATGACCTTCTTGGGCACCATCAGACAAATATTTAAAACCCAAATATATATATATTTTGTGCAGTTTCACTTCAATGCTTTGGTTTTGACTGAAAAGTCTCTGTAATATATTACATTTATTTTAATCCTCCTGTCAGGGCTCTCATGCAAGCTGACCTGAACTGCGCTGATACGGCTAATGGTGATTAAACACTCCAAAGTTTCAAGCAACCTTGATCCGACCTGCTAAAAGTGAGGAATAATCCCACAAAATCCATTTCTGATGGAAAATCTATAAAGAGCTGCAAACAACTGAACACAGCACAAAAAGATTCTGTGCACACCCGCAATTTCCTCACGAGGGCCGACTATTAAGAAATCGATGATCATTGAGTGATAAATGTCTCTCGGCTCGGAATAAACGAGCTGTGAAGAATTAAGTCCTGAAATCTTTAAAAATAAAACAAAACACAGCCATGCTGCATGAAACATTTGTTTATTAGTATGCTATCTGAACAGGCGGTGTAGCTCTGCAATAGACATCTTTTAAAATGATGCTACAGAGACAAATTGCTGCATTAAGGTTCTTGTCCAGAGAACAGGTGTAAAGGAATAGTTCATCCAAATGTTTAAAATGTACTCCATTTTTATACACTCTCAAATGGTTCCAAACCTTTGAGAGTTCCTTTTTTTCAGATGAACACAAAAGAAGAGATTTTGAAGAATGTTGGCAACTATTAACTTGATAGTAGTACTATAATAATACCATGGAAGTCAATGGTTACCCATCTGCAGCATTTTTCAAAATAACTTGTTTTGTGTTCAATAGAAGAAAGAAAATTAAACAGGTTTGTAACAAGTGAAGGGTGAGTGAAGGAATTTTCAGTTTTGGCCAAACTATCCCATTTATTAAAGAGAGGTACTGTAAGTACTTCAAAAGATCATTTCCTCCAGAATGGCTTTGACTTGGAGCGGATTGGTTTTGCCTTTGGTTTCCTTCTGAATTTCCCCCATCAGTTTGTTCAGAACTTTCTTATTACCTCCTCTGATAATCTGAACCTGCAATAACAACATTCATTTGCAAAATTTGTGCAACAGTTCTAAAAGTCGGCTGGGATCGCTACATGGAAAACTGTGTATTTGTATATTGTTAATGTTAAATATTGAGCAATAACATAATTGTCTCACTAGCTCAATATATATATATATATATATATATATATATATATATATATATATATAAACTTTTTATTTCTGAATCTGCAACAAACTTCTTTTGCAAAAATGAGTGCACAATTGACCAGTTTACATGCTGTTAATTAGTAAATAAAGAAATTAAAAGAAAAAAAATAAATACATAAATAAGAAAATAAAGATAAATGCGTACAGTTCAAGTCAGAATTATTAGCCCACGTTCATTTTTTTCCCAATTTCTGTTTATTGGAGAGGATTTTTTCAACACATTTCTAAACATAATAGTTTTATTACCTCATCTCTAATAACTGATGGATTTTATCTTTGCCATGATGACAGTAAATAATATTTGACTAGATATTTTTTCAAGACTCTTCTGTACAGCTTAAAGAGACATTTAAAAGACTTAATTAGGTTAACTAGGCAGGTTAAAGTAATTAGGCAAAATATTGTATAACGATGGTTTTTTGTTCTGTAGACTATCAAAAAATATATAGCTTTTATTCTAGTCAAAATAAAACAAATAAGACTTTCTCCTGAAGAATAAATATTATCTGAGAATATTATCTTGCTCTGTTAAACATCATTTGGGAAATATTTAAAAAAGAAAAAAAATTAAAGGGGGTGGGGGCTAATAATTCTGACTTCAACTGTATGTAAATAAATAGTTTTCTATTTAATGGTAAAGTAATTAAATATATTTGTACAGGTTATTTTTGTTTGTTTATTTATTTGTATAAATTTATAAGTACAATAAAGACAAAGTAGATTTTTCTGATACAACCTAATTTTTCTATTTTGACACATTTAGTGGTTCTTAAACTAAATCTTAATAGACAGTTAATCTGTAAAATAATCCGTACATTTTATTTTATGCTCACGTTGTATAATACATTTATTTTAGCTTCAAGTTATAGTAAATATTTAGTAGTGATTATCTAAACCTGCAACAAAAGTCATTTAAAAAAGCTGGCATTGGCAAACAGTAAAAAAATAATTTAATAATTACTGAAAAACATATTTGCAATATATCTGTAGTGGCTCATTTTAGTTCATACGAATCGGAAACTGCAACAACAATTTCTTCAAGCCAAATAAAACATTTAAAATAAAGAAAATAAAAGATGTGTTGATATTTATACACTATTAATCAAAAGTTTGGGGCCAGTTTTTTATTCATTCATTCATTCATTCATTTTCTTGTCGGCTTAGTCATTTTATTAATCTGGGGTCACCACAGCGGAATGAACCGCCAACTTATCCAGCAAGTTTTTTACGCAGCGGATGCCCTTCCAGCCGCAACCCATCTCTGGGAAACATGCACACACACATTCACACACACAGTCATACACTATGGACAATTTAGCCTACCCAATTCACCTGTACCGCATGTAACCTTCTTGCTGTGAGGAGACAGCACTACCTACAGCGCCACTGCCTCGCGGCAGTTTTTTATTATTATTTAATAATTTAAATATAAATACTCTGTTCATCAAGATAGTATTTAAAAATGGTTAAAAAAATAGTTTAATTGTTAAATACTTATTTATTAACTATTTATTTCTTACTTATTGTATGTAGTTTCAAATGAAATTATTATTCCAGTCATTATTGCTTTTAAAATCACTGGGATAAATTATTAAATTAAATGAAAAATTAAACTCATTTTAAACAGTTTTTATAGTGCAATAACATTTCCTAATTTTACAATTTGTTCTCTATTTTTTTTTATAAATAAATGCAGCCTTTGCTAGCAGGAAAAGCTTTTTTTAAAACATTTAAAAATCCTACTGACCCCAAACTTTTATATAATAAAGTATATTAATAATAATATAAAATAATAATAATAACAATGATAATAATAATATATTTGTGCTGCCATTAAAAAAGATAAAGACAAAGATTAATGTGTTAATGTACCTCCTCAGAGTGACTGTCCACAATCCTCTGGCAGATCTGTCGCAGCTCTTCTTTGTCATTTATCATCCACAAATCCTGCTCCTTGACTATCTGTTCCACTGTCTTCTCAGGGGTCTTCCACATCTCCTGGAAAACCTGTGCTCGCCACAAACACACACAAAACAGCCCGAAAGTCACCAAAAAGTACCTTTAACATCTGACAATCGGGTATTTTGTACATTTCTATTTTATTTTTGTCTTACTTTCTTGGCAGTTGAAGATGAGATGTGACCCGATCTTACAAGATTGATCATCTCAGCGAGAGCACATGGAGAGACGGGACTGAGAACGGGTTGGAAAGAATAGATTACAATCAAAGACATAAGAAGTAATATTCTGGAGAACAAGAATTAGAAACATTAAAACTTAGGAGAACTAATTACTAGATAGGCTAATCAAGGCTTGTCTCTGTGTGTTTACAAATTTTGGGCGCACTCAGATTTGAGTGAAGTCAAGAAAACAAGAGGTGATCATTGAGGCCGTTTCTGATCAGTGAGCTGGACAAGTCCAGAAAAACACTCACACACATACATCCCCAGGCGATGAGTCTACACAACCTCCATTATTTATTATTTACTGACTGGAAACAATGTTGCTGAGAAGGAATAAAGCAAACAGACTGGAAATAAGCCCTTGGCACACACATGCACATTGCACACACACTTCCTCTCTTCCTTTTTCTTGGAATTATTCTAATTTGTTTTTCCAATGCTCGGGATGTATTGCAGCTATTGAATGCAGGCTTACCTCTGAGAGACTTTCAGATTCTGGAGATTGAGATTTCCCATCAGCTCATTCATCACCCAGCCAATCACCTTCCTTGGTTCAGTTTTAGTCATCTTAACAACGCTCTCAAAGTAATCCACAAGGCCATCCTCATTCTGAAACAGTTATCATGAGTTATCATTTCAAGTCTTTTCAATTAGTACTAATATTTCTGATGAAAAAATGTAAATGCATGAGTGATTAACAACCAGGGCCAGGCAGATTCTGACGGCTTTTCTTTTGCTACCTCTTTGGATTGATTTTAAAAGTAAGACTTGAGAACTTTACAGATAAAATAAAAATAATAATAAAAAAAACTTTTTAACTTTTATTTATAGTTACAGTGCAAATCCAATAGAACTTGTTTGGTGAAAAGAAATGGTAAAATTGGTTGTTCTCATTTAGTTTATCCATTACAGGATTATTTAATTAAAAAAATATATATATTATGTTGTATTGTACATAAACCATGAAAACCTTTGCCTTTTATTGCATTATATTAAAGAAATAAAACATAAAAGCAGAACAAATATATATTTACACAGATTTACATAAGTAAATTAATAGATTGTATGATGGGCTATAATGTTGTGGATTTCTATGGGTGCAGATTTGATATGGGCATATTAATAACATATGATATTGTGAATGCATGCCGTATGTGAGTGGCCCGGGAGTGGTCTCAAATCCTGTCTTTTTATTGTAGACACTTAAAAACAATCATTAATTGCTGCAGGAATAAAAGAAGGATCTTGTTTGAGGCTGTGGATTCGTTTGTGGTTTGTTTGTGTGTTCATGTGGTGCAGAGGAGCACTGTGTTTTTGAAGTGAAGGAAAATTCAGGATAGTTTCCTATAGTTTATTTTGTTACTTTTTTTCCCTCTGATATATTTATATTACTTTGGGGACACCAACAAACATTCATGTTAACACTGTGTTTTGGAATTATCTAGAAGTATGTCTATGGCATTTTCAAGTTTCTCATATATACATGCTCAACAAGAACGCATAATTAGGCCCAATCCCAATTCTATTTTTGTGCCCTTTCTCTTGGCCCTTGAAACAGAGTGTGAAGGGGAAGGGTTTTAAAACGTACCCCTAAGAAATGGGACACCTCTACAGCCCCTCCACACGTCATCATATGTCATCCGAATCTCTTGCTTCATATGAGATCAGACGATTGCGACTACTATAGTTATTCCAGTAGCGCTATTTGTAGGTATTTATTTTCAGGAGATCACTGAAGGCCTTGATATCATGTTATCATAACAATATAATGTGGCAATAAGCTTGTAACTGTACTGTGCATTTACACCATGGCCATATTCATCTATTCATCTACGAAAAGAACATTAACGTTATACCAGACACTGTTAAAAGCAGCCACTGGTCTTTTCTGACAGGGTGTCTGAGTGTCAGATGTTGTGGGACTGCTGTACAGGAGTTATTACTATGGATTATAGATAGCGAAATTTAGTATTAAAATATGCTTGTTCGTTGTAAAATTTTTTAATAATGACAAAAAAAAAAATACTAATTTGTGCATCTCCTGACTTCCGTGTGAAGCCATGCTACTGTTGAAGATGGTGTACTCAGGGAAATTCTCTTACCCCTTGGTTTCGAGCGTGGTGAAAAATCTCTGTTTCATAGGCTATCTAGCCCTTCCCCTAAGACCTATGCCTTCAAGCTAAAGAGGATTGGGACATTAAGGCAATGGCTAAGGGGTAGAATTGGGATTGGCTCTTAGTGCTAAGCCAGACAGTAAGGTAGCCCAGGTACATATAAACTAGTTCATTTAAGTCAAGCCGGTTGGCAAAGTAGCCAAGGCACACATAGTTTAGTATACTAGTGTTAATCTATTTGGTAAGCTAAACAAGGCACACATAGACAGTAAAACACACGGCATGATAAATAGGGCATGTTTCTCAAACATTCCAACCAGCTAATCATATTTAAGGGATACAGTTCACAATTTAGCTATATCATTGTTGATTTTGGAAATAATTTAGAGTTATGGTTAGTTTTGGGGTGTAGTTTAATGATTACAATTTTAAACAGGAATGATGCTTCAGGATCAACATTGATGTTAAACCAGGAATGCATCCCACTCTTCAAAATCACAAACTCTAAAGTAAAAAAAACAATTGAAAACAATTATACAAAGGACCAATGTGCCTGATAGTAAATTTGTTTTATAAAACAAGCATGTGAACAGTCTCACCACAAGTGTGAAGCTGTGCTCTCTCAGGATGCCGTAAGTCTCCACAAGCCTTGTCCTGGTCACAGATGGCAGCTCTGGCAACTGGGAGCTCAGCCTGTCAATCAGCACGAGCTGGGTGGAGTCAGCACCAGCGGGCACCGAGGCTTCACTCTCATACACAAACAGTGGTGGCAAGTTGGGCTCTGGCATGAACCTGAGAGTAAATGGAGATGACAGAATGTACATGCAGTCATGTGGGGAAACATGAGAGTGTTTTCTTCTTATCAGGTGCAGAGATAAGCCAGCGTTTGCTGTGTTCAGACAGTGTGTCATCTCATGGCCTGATCCTCAGACCTCCTGTCTCTCTGTCAGAGCCTCCTCGTAGACTTCTTCAACCTGAACCAACCAGTCACATATACCCAGCCTCTGTTAAACTGATTGTGCCTGGGGTCCTCTGCTGTGGTGGTACATCAGAGGCCTGTGCGGCTGAGCTCTCTTAAAAATATGTTAAAAATTAATATATATATATATATATATATATATATATATATAAATAAAATACAGGTTTGTTAGAAAAATAAAAATATAAAAAAAAATAATAATAGTACTTTTTTTTTCTCAAATAAATGTGTATCATTCAGCATGTTTATTTTGCCCATAGTCTGTAGATGGCACTACATGATTTTGTTATTACATTCTTACTCTTCCTCCTACTTTATATAGATCTACAGCCGCGTTATCAGAGCACAGGCAGTATGTCTTCTGTCCTTCATGTTGCCACTTACTCGATCTACTCTTCCTGTTCTCCTCCTGTTTTATCTCCTGATCACATTCTCTTCTTCCACAGCACCTGTATTACTGCTGACATCCTTTCAACAGTTTTCATTTTACCCGGCTCCATTACTTTTTCCAGTGTTTTACTGTTTTTCTTTTCCTTTACTACATGGATTTCACTCACCTGAAGGGTTCAGTTTAGAGTTTTGCTCACCTGTAGTCCTGCAGGCCTTCCTTATCCCTCATCGGAATTGTGATACTGGTGAGTAAAAAGACGAGATGGTAAATACAGTAATTTTCAGTTTAAAATAAATGTTTAAAAAGCAGTATAATCAAATCTAATCTAATAATATAATATGATATAATATGATATAATACAATATAATATAATATAATATAATATAATATAATATAATATAATATAATATAATATAATATAATATTAGAGACCATTTAAATACATCCATTTTGAAAATATCAACATTAGCCAACATTAGTGTGATGGTCATTTTACTTTATGTCATAATTACTGTAATTACTAGATAACAACCTGGACATTGTACTTACAGCATTTAATGTCCTCAAATTTGATATGACACCCTTACAGTATATAGCAACATCGTTAACAACAAAATGAATTTGTGCAACTTGACTAATTTGACAAAACTGACAAAAATTCAATACAACATGCTGCAATATGCTAATAAAGCTATATACTGTATATTTAGCTATAATATTAAATCAAATTATGATTCAAATTTGTAAATATTTGTTTACACTAAAATGTGCTGCAGAAGTCCAATAGTACATTACATTTACTGAATGTGTACCTTGGCTCTAGGGGTCAAACAACAAAAAATAAGGTCAAGAAGGTTATTATGGAGTCAGATCGGAGTTTCGTTAGTCATGTTAAAGCAGTAACTAATCAGCATACCATTATCGCAAAAATATTGCAAAAATTAAATGCTTTGTTTCCAGTGAGAAACGTGTTCATGCTTTTATTACAAGAAGGGTGGATTACTGTATTGGGCTCCTCACTGGCTTTTCCAAAAAGTCATATAAATCTATAAATCTGTCTATAAATAGCTAAATGGCCTAGTGACCTCAATACATTACAGATATGCTCACTGAATACAAACCTAACAGATCACTCAGATCTTTAAGATCAAACAAACTACAAATTCCATGAGTTCATTCAAAGCAGGGTGAATCGGCCTTCAGCTACTATTCCCCCGCTGGTAGAATCAGCTTCCAGAAATGATCAGATGTGCTCCAACATTTAGCACATTAAAATCAAGATTTAAAACACATCTGTTTAGCTGTGCCTTTCCTGAATGAGCAATGTGCTACGTCTGACAGATCCCATTATTATGTCTTTCTTTTCTATTTCATTTTTTTAAAACCTATTTTAAAACATTTTAATCTGCTTAAATCACTTTTATTCTTTGTTATTTTCTTCTACTTGTCTTTTTTAGTCCTTTTTATGTAAAGCACTTTGAATTACCATTGTGTATGGAATGTGTTATATAAATAAACTTGCCTTAAAACACATTTGTGAAAACACATATTCACAAATTATGTGATGGTGTGATTGCTTTTATGAACTGTGAACTCATTATTACAATGATTTAGAAAAATCACGGACACCACTTTTCTTTGTTAATTGCAAAGTTGACAAACTAAATACATTAAACTACATACAAAGCTAAAAAAAAAAAAACATTTAAGAAGGCATTTTCAGTTCAGCAATACATAGAGGAAACTTTAATTTTTTTTGCAAATCTAAAACTATTTGTTAGATGTTGGTAATAAAACCAGGACAGTCAGATACACCGTTGTTTTTGTATCACGCCTGAAGGAGTTTATTCAGCAATATTGTCCAGCTCTACTATACACTACCTGAGAAAAGACTTGTTGCCGATCCATGTTTGAGGAACAACAAATAATAACTGAACTTCTAGTTGATAATTTGGTATTAGAAATGGCTTATATGAAAGGTAGATGATCAAATTTATTGAAAGCAAAGAAGGTCAAGGCACTCGAGGATTGGCCAGCCCAGTCACCAGACATGGTCAATAATGTTCATGTCTGGTGACTGGGTTGGCCAATCCTGGAGCATCTTGACCTTCTTTGCTTTCATTAAATTTGATGTGGAAGCTGAAGTATGAGAAGGAGCGCTATCCTGCTGAAGAATTTGCCCTCTCCTGTGGTTTGTAATATAATGGGCAGCACAAATGTCATGATACCTCATTCTGTTGATGCTGCCATCCACTGCAAATCTCTCACATGCCCCCATACTGAATGTAAGCCCAAACCATGATTTTTTCTTCACCAAACTTGATCGATTTCTATGAGAATCTTGGGTACATGCGAGGTCAATAGGTCTTCTGCAGTGTTTGATGATTTACTGGAAAAATCCACCTTCTGCCACTTTTTCAAATGATGAAGTCAAGTTATTATTTTTGCTCTTACAACTGGGATCGACGACAAGACTTTTGTCAGGCAGTGTACAATAACCTGCTATTTACATGGCTGCTAAAAACCAAACAAATAGATACCAAATCTTGTTAGAAGATAGTAAAGTCAGGTACAATTTCACGACCACTGTCTGACAACAGCTGCTGCAATTAACCAATTAGATTAAAGTATTCCAGAAGTTTGTGTACTAAGCACTGATAGATTGTTGGTTTATGCTAGCATATCATATCCAAAAGCAGGGGGACGCAGCTGTGAGAAGGGACTTTTATTTCATGGGCAGATGCTCGCAATAATAACTGCTCTGTCATCTGTAGAGAGCATGAGATGGTGTGTGTGTGTGTCTGGTGCTGCCATGTGTACAAGTCGACACATGACACAACTACTGAGGTCAAATGACCACATTCATCTTCTGTCACAGATGGACAGGAAAAAGAGCAAGGGAAAAGTCTGTGCCCATGAATAAATGAATTCCTGAATCACTATTCACCAGTGCTGCAAGAATATACAGCATCACAAACAAAAGAAAATGGTGAGAACTGAACATGAGATAAAAATAGATAGTGTATCACAAAATAATGCCAATACATCACCGTCTACTGTGTTGTTTGCACTGGCTGCACACAACAAAACAGCAGGACATGTTTATCTTTCCCCCCCCATATATTTTAGAAGGCAATTTATTCATGTGATGGCCATGTTGCATTTTGCAGCAGATATTACTCCAGCCTCAGGGTGACATGATTCCTCAGAAACGTAATGTATTGTTGTTTGCATCTGTGTATACAAACACATTTCTTTGGTTTGTTTAAATCGTTTAAAAGAATAAAATGTATTTAAAATAGAATTATATGTAGCTATGCACGCATGATTACTTTAACTTTGGATCAATTTAATAAATCCTATCTAAATAAATGTATTTGCCATGAAGAAATAGGGGCTTCTGCTGTAAGTGTCAGGGAAAGTCTGTCCAGAAAACACACACGCAGTGAAATTGTGCACAGTGTCTGCGTTTTTAAGTAGTTGGCGCTTGGAGTGTTGTAAATACCTGCGCTCGCCTCCCTCACGACAGAGCGTATATGAGGTAAATGACGTCACTACATAATAACCGGTTGTGATTATTACTGAACCGATACCGAATTGTCAGCGTCTGCATCGTGGTGCACCGAAGAAACAATTAATTTTGACACCCCTAATAAATAGCACTATGTATGTATTGCCTCATCTTATTGAATCGCTGAATACCTCCTCAAGTGAGTAGCTTTGGACAAAAGCATCAGCTAAATGACTAAATGTAAATGTACCTTTATTATCAGACTGTTCATGATATGCATCACAATCCCCAGGAATCTAATCCTGGCAGGTTGCTGGTAAACACGCAGTTCGCCAAAGGACTACAAATCTGCCGGTAAATGGACTACAAGTTCCAGTCATGCACCATGCACATGCACCTGTTCCTCATTCAGTAGAACACTCACGGCTTTGAAGCTGCGGTCACACTGTACTTTTCTCCCCATAGTCTTCCATTCATATGCACGCGAATGCGTCAGACCATAAACGCAAGCACATGCGACAAGTTTCGCAGTTCGCTGCATTGCAGAGTTCAAGCTTTGTTGAACTCTGACCAGCGAAATCGCATCACTTGACTGCGTGAGAACAATTGAGGATCAAAACATGAACTCTCTAAACAAAAATGTAAAATATTGTCCATTAATTCGCTTTTTTAAATATCTAAGTATCTTGTTTAATCCCGCCCCTTTTCACAGCGCCGTACAACAGAATTTCACAACCTCAAACTCTAGTGTGACTGCAGCTTGAGCTGCTCACAAACTGATTACAAGGACTATTTATACAGCGCACACACACACTTATCAGGGCTGAGTCTTGTTTATCTGTTTGGGGACTTTACAATATGTTTCTTATGCCTTGTTGTGTTTGATCCTCGCTTTGTTTTAGTGTTTATTCCTGTCTGCTGCCTGCCTTCTTACCACTTGCCTGTTATTTGACAACAACTCTGGATTCTCTGTATGTACCTCACTGCCCCTGTGTGAACCATTGCTTGCCTGACCAATCCTGTTAATGAAACCTGCATTTGGATCCGCAATTCCATTGTCAGCGTCGCAATCAAATTACAATATGACAGTAATTTAAATTTAAAAAAATTTAAAAACTAAATTATGAATGTTTTTTTTTGTTATCAATTGTAAATGATTGTAATAAAATTTTAGATAGGTGGTTTGAACAATGTTAGCATAAAATGACAGCTTTTCCTTTGAAAATCTGTGCAGAGACACTGACTAAACCTGAAGCTCAGTATGTGTGTTCAGCTGTGAGACATTAAACATGTAATCTGACATGAATATTTTTAAGTGGCTGTGGGTTTAAAATGTAATAAGAAACCAATATAAAATCAGAGACTCAAACCCTCTAAGCCGCAGATCCTCTAATTGCATTGCTCTGTTCCAGTTGATATCACATGAGAATGCAGTGCTTGTAGAAATCTGCCTGTTCTGGGCCTCCTTACCCAGATTTGCTGTCAAATGCCCGGGTCTCATTAAGAACCGTCCCACCGCTCTGTAGAACCTCCATCTGTCTCTGGATCTCATAGTCTGTGGAACATGTACCAAGAGAGGACCAATCAAACTCCTAACCACAACCTTCTGCCAACAAAAACCCTAAAGTGCTTTTGAAATGGCTGTGGATCAGCATTTTTCTGCATTACTGTTTAAATGAGCTTTTGAGGGAAATTATGATATTCATGTATAGAATACTATTCCTATTGTTTTAGTTTTTCCATCAATGAATATTAACAAACAAGATCACCAACTGAATTATTGAGAAAAGAAGCATGCAGATACGTTCATTGCTGTGACAGCTACACTGGTTTGTATGGAACAAAATGATTAATTTAAAAATACCACAGAAATGGTTATATGTAAGCATAGCTGAATAACTAAGAGTCCAGTACATGGAAATGACATACCATGAGCCTCAAACACTATTGTTTCCTCATTCTCATGCAAGTAATGTGAGTGCAATATCTCAGTGGACAAGACACAGACTAACATTACTCACAGGATCATTAATATGCAGCTTTTGATTGCTCACAAAATTTTCAAGAGATATTACAACAATTATATGTATTAAATTGTTTGTTTGCTTAGGTTCAACTTTTGAGTGAAGCAGTGGCGCAGTAGGTAGTGCTGTCGCCTCACAGCAAGAAGGTCGCTGGTTCGAGCCTCAGCTCAGTTGGCGTTTCTGTGTGGAGTTTGCATGTTTTCCCTCCGGGTGCTCCGATTTCCCCCACAGTCCAAAGACATGTGGTACAGGTGAATTGGGTAGGCTAAATTGTCCGTTGTGTGTGTGTGTGTGTGTGTGTGTGTGTGTGTGTGTGTGTGCGTGTGTGTGAATGTTGATGTTGATGTTTCCCAGAGATGGGTTGCAGCTGGAAGGGCATCCGCGGCATAAAAAAACTTGCTGGATAAGTTGGTGGTTCATTTCGCTGTGGCAACCCCGGATTAATAAAGGGACTAAGCCGACAAGAAAACGAATGAATGAATGAGGTTCTACTTTTAACACAGGGGTTCTATGTTCCATGTCTAGGGGTTCTATGTTCTATATCCAGCATTAGCTCTGGGGAAATTCAATGCAACAGCATCTGTTTTATCTGTTTACATTTGGTTTTGCATATATTTTGCCTATACTTCATCAACAAAACATAACTCAGGAGCAGTTAGGAACAGATAGCTCACTAAATCCTAATCTGAGCCTCTTCCCCACTTCAGCTGAAATGAATGTCAATCAACAAGGCATCTACCTATGCATTCATTAATTTTCTTTTCGGCTTAGTTCCTTTATCAATCAGTGGGAACCACCAACTTATCCCACATGTTTTATGCAGCGGATGACCTTCCAGCTGCAACCCATCACTGGGAAACACCCATACACTTTTATTCACACTCATATCCTATAGACTATTTAGCTTACCCAATTCACCTATACTGCATGCCTTTGGACTAGTGGGGGAAACCAGAGCATCCTGTGCCACCATGCCGCCCGACATCTACTCAATTTGTTTACTTTTTTTTACAACTAAAGTATGATAAATTTGCATATATGTATTTCAGAGTACATCACATATTAGAGATGAGTCGCAGGAGTCAGGGCCATAAAGAAGAGGGCATGGGAGTGGGAGCATGACAGAAAAGCTCATTCAGATTCATGACACTTCCAAATAAGGTAAAAACACAGCTTTCACAATTACTAGGGTTCTAAATGGGATTGTAAAAGCATTTCAGGCACTTTCCTAAGGCACATTCTTTGTAGCTATGCATTGAACAATTTAAACAATGTATCAATGCATTAAAGATGAACTCAAATCACACAGTAAAAATGCATGTTCATTTCCACTAACTGTATTCTTTTGCGTATTTTGTGATTCACTATTGTTTTCTCTTTATTTACGGATGAGAAATGCATTATGGGACCTTGATCTGTGCACTGTCAACCTTTGCTGTTGAAAATTCAACTCTAAAGTGTAACAGTGAATTTTGTTGACATTTTAGTAGTTTGAAATAATATATTGTACAATAAGTGATATATAGAGAAATACGTCAGTAAAAGAACAGGAAATACTGCCAGTTTATTACAGTTTACATTAATAATAATAATAATTCCTTACATTTATATAGCACTTTTCTGGACACTCAAAGCACTTTACACATTTTTGGGAAGAATCTCCTCATTTACCACCAGTGTGCAGCATCCATCTGGATGACGCGACGGCAGCCATATTGCGTCAGACCGCACACTCCACACCAGCTGAATAAATGTGACCTGGGATTTTTAACCACCACAGAGAGTCAGGACTTCGCTTTAACGTAACATCCAAAAGACGGTGCTCACTGAGCAGTATAGAGTCCCCATCAATATACTGGGGCATTAGGACCCACACAGAGGGCAGGTTGAGCGCCCCCAAACAATATCAAAAACTATATTTATTACTTTAAACTATTACAAATGTTAATAAAAGACACTTTTTTAAACTTTTCAAGGTTAAAAGTTCATGATCCCAAGATCATAGTCCCAAAATGCAATTCAAAAGCATAAATAAACAGTAAAAAATTAAAACATGAATCACAAAATAAGGAACAGGCAATTTACGATTATTTGTTAGTGTAGTGGCATGTGTAATACAAAAGTTCAATTTCCTTTCATAGGGAACAAATCCAAATATGAGCAAACTCTGCATAATCTATGTTCTGGATGATTTATGCTAATTACAATTGCACTAATTGTGTTATTAAACATTATTTATATTCCAGAAAAAAATTATATATAGTGCTAAGCATAATTGAGTACACCCCAATTCGAAAAGGAGTATTTTTATTCATTTTAGTGAATATAGGGAATGCATTTTGTTACAATTAAATAAAACAGATTTTTTATGTTTTATATATTTATGTAAATAATATTTTAGTCACCAAACATATTTAGAAATTGAAATAAAATACAATTAAATTCAAGCAAAATATTGCAAAAATAAATTAGAACCTACAAAATGTCAACTAAATATTTCTCTTTTTTTGCTTCACTTGATTGTTCCTCTTTTTAAAATTTGTATTAAATATTTTTTTTTACAACATAAAATTTGGTATACTCATTTTTAGACTTATTGTAAGTTATTTTGTTAAATAAGCTCCAGATTTGGCTTCACTACTGACAAATCTAATGTATAAGCACAAATATAATATTGTATAGCTTCCTATTAAGAATGTGAATTTAAAAGATTTGTGAGGGGTGTACTTGTATAAGCTGAGCCCTGTATAATGAAACTGCATGTATTTTGCTAAGGGGATATTATAAAATAGGTTTAAAATAATCATTTCACTTTCAGTTGTTAAAGATCTTTCTGTTTACTCTTTCTGTTATTGACAGCACTACTTAATTTTCTCTTCCTTGATAGACTAGACTTTGTGTCTTTAACAGCTATTATTTGCTTGGATAAAATCAGTCAGGTTTTCTTTTGAGTCAAACTCCTAGGTTCAAAAAGACAACTTTGTGATTTAAATGAATAAAATGTGTGTATCTGTGTGTGTTGAAGTAGCAGCAATTTGGCTTCTGCAGCCTTTATTCAATGGCGCACATCTTGACAGTGCATTTAACACGAGACAGAGATGGAGTGAGGTGAAAATGCTTATTGTTCGAGTTTCTTATCTGGAGTTTGCAGTATGACTTTCCGCTCTGCCATAATTACACACAGACACTCATTTCCTTCAACTGACGCAGAGTTAAATGTGACAACCATACTGGAAAAGTGACTTCCAGCTATTACTAAATTGCATGTGTGTGTGAATATAAATGCGGCATGATTAAAAGATTTCTGAAACCCACTGGCTAAAAGTCTATTTAATTCCCTTGACATGTCAAGCTGTACTGAGGAATGTCAAAGAGATTTTACTGCGCACTTTTAGTTAAGCAAGAAAAACCCTTCTTGAAACCAGCTGAGAGATCTTGAAATTCATCACATTCTTTCTTGGTGTCAGTTAGACATCCTTACCTATAGCTTTGGCCAGATGCCTCACACTGTTGATGTTTTTGACCTCAGTTCTCACTCCCAGAGGTTCTCCGGGATGATGCACGGACACATTGGCATCAACCCTAAGCTGGCCCTCTGTGAGGAAAGAGAAAAAGGGATCTGATTTGAGAATCACACCATACAGTCATTACAGTTCAACCATCCACAGCTCTTCAAACCCTTGCTTAACAAACAGTGCATATATTTGAATTTGAATGATATATTTGCATGAAATACTGTATTCTGGAGGGCCCTGTGAACCACTGAATAGTCTGAAACAGATAAACAATTTGCTGCATTTTGCTTCAGGGGGCTTTGCTTTGATTAAACAAGAGCCACTGCATTTTTCATCACAGAAAGACAATAGGTTGATTGAGTGGTGAGGCTTTAAGAAGGGTCGAGGAACAGGTCAGTTATTTTCTCATTTGAAACTGTGTCTCTTGCACAAACACTAGATTTCCTTCATATTTCTTAATGTTCTCACTTAAAATGTGTAATTGAAACCAGGATATTCATATTAAAATATTCAAACATTCAGTTCCAAATATCAGATTCCCTGACATTCACTAACTAAAAAACTTATTTTCTATGACATCTAATGAGCAGGCAGCTGTTGTGCTTATACATACTAATAACATATACAAAATAATATTTTAATTTCCCAGTGATGGGTTGCAGCTATAAGGGCATCCAATGTGTAAAACATATGCTGGATAAGTTGGCGGTTCATTCTGCTGTGGCCTTATGAATAAAGGGACTAAGCCAAGGGAAATTGAATGAATGAATAATAGATTAAATAAAAACAAAATATTCAAATGATTTTTAAGCTTGAATATAATGTTGCATTACTTTAATAGCCAAAATAACAACATCAATGGTTCATTTACCTCAGAGTTTGAATAACTACAAGGTAATTGAAATAATTTAATAAAAACATCCAAAGTAATTGCTATTTGTGTGGCTGCAAATCGCTCCCTCCCCCATGTTTGATAACTCAATAGAAGTTTTACAAACATTTTTTTTAGCTTTTCCTGTCATCAACTTTTAATACCCAATTTTTTTTGAAGTGATCATTATGAAGCCAATTAACTTAAAATGTATATTATCCTGACGTGTTAACAGTACAGGTCTGGTGATTGTATTTGACTTAAGTGACTACAATGTAAGTTTTTTTGTGCAGCAAGAGATTTTTTAATGTCAGAACAATAAAATGGAGCTGAAAAATAGCCTAACCAAAACAATAGGTGTGATACAACAAATAAAAAAGTACATATACACATACACAATCATATCTACTGCACAATATACAGTTGAAGTCAGAATTATTAGGCCCCCTAAATTATTAGCCCCCCTGTTTATGTTTTTACCCAATTTCTGCCTAATGGAGAAAATATTTTTTCAACAATTTTTTAAATATAATAGTTTTAATAACTCATATCTAATAACTGATTTATTTTATCTTTGCCATGATGACAGTAAATAATATTTGACTAGATATTTTTCAAGACACTTCTATACAGCTTAAAGTAACGTTTAAAGACTTAACTAGGTTAATTAGGTTAACTAGGCAGGTTAGGGTAATTAGGCAAGTTATTCTATAATGATGGTTGTTCTGTAGACTATAAAAAAAAAGTTAGCTTAAATGGGTTAATCATTTTGCCCTTAAAATGTAAAAAAAAAAAAAAAAAAAAGTGTATATATTCTAGCCGAAATAAAACAAATAAGACTTTCTTCAGATGAAAAAAAATATTATTAGACATACTCTGAAAATTTCCTTGCTCTGTTAAGCATAATTTGAAAAATATAAAACAAAAATAAATAACAAAAAAAATCAAAGGGGACTAGTAATTCTGACTTCAACTGTGTATACAGCAATCAGCATAAATGAGTATAGCCTATTGAAAATGTATATTTAAAGCGGTATTTCAGTAAATATAGCCAACATTTTTGGTGCATTAAAACAAAACAGTTTTGTTAAACAGTTAAATCTATTAAAATAAACGCATGGTCACCTAACACCTTTAGGTATAGAAAGATCTTTTAAATTTTATTAAGTTATTGAAAACAAAAATCTATAAAAATAAATCAATAAATAAAACTACAACATTTCAACTAACTTTAATCAATTTATTTTCTTTTGATTTATCATGTTTATTAAAATTTTATTTAATATTTTCCCCAACATATTAATTTGGGGCGTACTAATTTATGGACTATGGTCTTATATTTTTTGTTAGACTAGTTCCAGTTTTGGCTTTGGTAATGAGTAAATATAATGTATTTACACAAATATATTATTTTAAAGCATTCTATAGAAAATATTAGACATCTGTGAGGGGGTGTATTCATATATACCCAGCACTGTATATACACACACACCTTTTTTCATGGTTTCAATTATTTTTTTTTTATAAATAAATATTGATAAATCAAAAATGAAATTTAAAGCGAAAAACAAAAATCCCAGATATTCCATGACTTAAAGAAAATTATAAAAATTCCCCGACTTTTGATATCTGGAATGGAACTTTTACAATTTCATGATATTCCATGAATTCCATGACCTATAAGAACCCCGAACATTGCAATGCATAATACTTTTGAATCTGGACAAAGTAAAAATAAATAAATACATACATTTTTAACAATTGGCAAAGCCATAGTTAGGCAAAAGAGGGATGTTCACCACAGTTGTATGGTGTACAAACTACCTTTTTGCTTTTTTTTAGATATTGCCTTTGTAATACCCATGTGTCAGCAGGTGCAGGTCTGCAAACATAAAGTTATGTACAAAGTATACAAAATATAAAGTTACATCCTGAAATAATGAACACATTCTCAAATACTGAAATTCAATGCAATTCATTTTTCACTTCCATAACTGATCAACAGATCTACACATTAAATTTGCATAATGTCAATCACATAATTACAGTCCTTTCCCTTATTAAAGCCATTTAGAACATTTAGTGCCTTTGTGCAGTTATCATGAGTTATCAGTCATCTGTTCTTCTTGTTGCAGGTTGGAAAAAACAAATGGGAAAAATACTTCTGGAACTGACAAGCAGAAAAAAGTGGGAGGACAATGATGCATGCTGCTTCCCCTTATCAAACAATTTGTAGAGTATTTTTGTTCATTTTGGAGGCATTTTTTGCCACAAGCACTTGCTAATTTATGACACACAAACTAAGTATAAAATTACAACTGGGGAATATCCTCATAATTTCTTTTTTTGTGACAGAGATTGACCAACTAGTTATTCCAAATAAAAATAAATTAAATAATATGGCATAATTGCAGAACTTTAAGGTATACGTGATCTGTTTGAAGACGTTTGAACAAAAAAACAGAATGGAAGGCTTTCCAAATTACACATTGTTTAACAGACATTTTGGAAAATTACTGCAAAATACTTATTATTAACAATATACTGTATACAAGTATGAATTCTGTTGCCAGTATAAAATTAAGCAACATTATGATCTAGCCATAATGAGTATTATTTGTCCATTGACTGTTTCTGTAATTCTTCATCTGCCTTTATTATTAATTTAGAAGAGATAGTTCACACAAACATGAAAATTTACTTTCCATCAAGTGGTTTCAAACCTTTTATTATGTTTACTTTAACAAAAAAATAAGGTCACACTTTATTTTGAGGGTCCATTTGTTGAATTTAGGATACAGTGCATCTACATGCCAACTAATTCTCATTAGATTATAAGTAGACTGTTAGGGTTAGGGTTAGTGTAAGTTTACACGTACTTGCAAAGTTTCTTATAGCCAGTTAAATGTCTGTTGAAGGTGCAGTATTAACAGATATTAAGCAGACAGTCTACTAATACTCAAATGGACCATTAAAATAAAGTGTTACCCAAAGTTAAATATTTTGAAGAACGTTGGAAACCGGTATCCATTAACATCCAAAGTAAACAAAAAAGAAAAAATACTATGGAAATCAAATTACCTGTTTTTAACATGCTTCAAAATTTATTATTTTGTGTTCAAACAGAAAAAAAAAACTCTAACAGGTTTGGAAAAAGTGGAGGGTGAGTAAATGAGTCAAAATTCATTTACTATATGTATAGGATCATGTAATCATCTTGTTGAATAAGAAATTACTGAATAAAAAAAAGATTCAACAAGACTTATGAACGTTAAACAACTTTTTAAACATTCAAATTTTTGTTTGCATCAATAAAAAATGTTCTGGGAAGACATAGATGTAAATTTGAATGTAATACATTGTTAAAGTAGTGGTTAAACATTAAGGCTGTGTTAATGGTTCACGTACAAAAAAAATGTTATTATTGTGTTTTTCTAATAAAAGTGTGTAGTTATATATACAGTTTATATTTTTATCTTAACTTCTGAGGTAGTTCATACATACTGAGTCATCAATATTAACAACAACCACACAAATGTAAAAAAGAAAAAAAGATTTTCAGCCACACTCCTCATACTTACAGTATAAATACTGGATGGATTACCAAATGTAAAAATGTTGTTACAACAAGGTGATATGTGTGTGAGTCCCAATCCGGGGAATAAATGTGTACAGACATTAAGGTTCAGATCAATGCTAGCTGTAGGGGTGTGTTAAATCACCAGCCATGTTGGCCTGGCAGGTGCCCAGAGCCTGCAGGATGAGCTGAAGCTCTCTGACGGCAGCGCCTGCCTCCTCTCCACAACACATCTCGGGCTCCATCACCAGCTCCATCAGACCCACACCTACAGACAGACAAACACAGCCTTCATTTGTCCCTGTCCTTAAAGGCGTCTCTGAATAATAGTGAAGAAGCAGCACCTGCTCTGTTAAGATCAATGAGAGTCTGGCTCCGTTCATCATCATGGAGACTCTTTCCACTGTCTTGCTCAAGCTGGATCTGTTTGATTTTCACACTCTTGGTTACCACATGGTTCCTTTTACGACCTTCAAAATGACTATAGCTTAGTGTGCCATTTACTGCAATGGGAAGCCTCTGCTGAGTAATCTGGTAACCTGCCTGAAAACACACACACAAACACAACACAAACTATTACGCAATCAACTGATGCTTATATGGACCTAAATAAATGTGTTACAGTAATATCTTTCTGTCCCTGATCAGGTTTTTTTAAACAGCAGGAGAGTGCCAGGAGAGGCTTAGAAAATGTAAAATTAATAAGGGGCTCCTATTTTACCACTTTTAAAACAAGTCTTTGGTGTATGCAGAATAATCTGTAACGTTTCAGGTCAAACTACTCATTAGATTATTTATTATACAACACTGAAAATGCCCATTTTGGAGTGAATAGAAAGTGTAGCTGTTTTTGTACCCTGTGCCTTTAAATGCAATGAGCTGGTTCTCCCTGCCCACTCTTCCCACATGCGTGTGTCTGCTTCTTCTGCATTACGTCAGATAAACAGCATCAATTAAAGACACGGATGAAGCAGACAGAGATCCATGTATTTGTATGTATTTGTGGTGGAGTTTTTTCAAGTTCACATATCATCACCTTAGAATTATAAGCTTCTATCTTGAGTTGAGTAAATGACAACTTATTTACATTATGGTATTTTATTTTTTTCAGTTCTTTACATTTTAATTTTACATTTTATTACAAAAAAAAAAAAAATGTTACACACATACTGTTTGCTTTGGAATGCAAAAACTTTGAAGCTCAAAATCTCAAAATCATTCAAAACGCAGATAAAACCTTATAATTCCAAGTTGACGAAATGTCATTACAAGGTTTGTAGTAGACACATATTTTTAACTTTGCAGTGTTTTGCACATTTACTTACGACAAATGTGACAGGATACTAGTCAATAAATACTGCAACATTATTATACTACTGTACAAAATAAAGCAGATTTAATGCCCACAAAGCGTCACTCCTGTTGTGCAGTTGGAATGTAATATATAGTTGTGCTGACACCATGCGCCTGTGGCAATTCCAGCGACTATGAATTACATAGTGATTTTACAGTCGTTTCTTTATTACAGACATGGACTGTTTTAAAATGTTTTAAACTGTGTAAAACCTATTCTTGAGGTGCATATGATCACTGAGAGTTGGAACAGATCTTTTAATCCCAGTTTCTTTGCAAATCCTGATCTGTGGACATGTTCATATCTTTTACTATGGAGACATCAAATCAGAAGGTGGGGAAAACTGCACTGCTATGTCATGTTGCAGTGGGCCTCAAAATCGGTAGGGTTTGTATACTATTTTAACATCAGGATATTTTTAAAGAGTGTTTATATTGCTCCAATATGACTGAAAAAAAAATCTGCTTTGCGCTGTGGCGCATGGTCTTACAGGTTTGAGCTTATTCTCTTAATGAGTTATAGGTGTGTTTTAAGAATAAACCAATCAGAGTCTCATTTTCCATTCCCATTTGCTATTTACATGGTGGACTTTGTAAGTTGAAAAACTGAGCGCTTTCACTAGTAAGAAAACAGTTAAACAGAATATCTACAGCGCGAGAATGAGAGATGAGCCTCCTCATTCTTTACTTTCACTTTCATGGATAGGGAAAATGTTGTGCAAACATTAGAGTTGGGGTCGAGTCCACCTTTGTCGAGTCCAAGTCAAGACCAAGTCCTTAACCAGTCGAGTACAAGTCCAAGTCCAAGTTCGAGTCCAAAAGGGGTCGAGTCAGACTTGAGTCCGAGTCCTTAACATCCGAGTCCGAGTCGAGTCCGGCCGAGTCCAGACAGTCATAAAACTCATTTATTAATTTTCTTTCGGCTTAGTCCCTTATTTATCAGGGGTCGCCACAGCGGAATGAACTGCCAACTAGTCCAGCATGTTTTAGGCAGTGGATGCCCTTCCAGCAACCCATTCACACTCTCATTCACACACACACTCACACACCACGACCATTTTAGTAAATTTAATCCCCGTATAGCGCATGTGTTTGGACTGTGGGGGAAACCAAAGCACCCGGAAGAAACCCACATCAACACGGGGAGAACATGCAAACTCCACACAGAAAAACTCCTGGCCCAGTCGGGACTCGAACCAGTGATCATCTTGCTGTGAGGTAACAGTGCTAAATAATAATAATAATAATAATAATAAAATAATAATATTAATTAATCAAATAAAGTTTTAAAATAACAATTAAACTGTTAAACTAATATTTTAAGCTTTTTATACATTTTTACAAAGTGCCTTGTATTTTTTTTTAGCTTGCTTCAAAATAAAATGAAAATAGGAGGATATATGTAGAACTTTTATTATTTTACAAGAGTCACACGTTTGACATTCTCATGCCACTTTCTCATATTTCTTCAGTTTAAATTACGCTTGCATTACCAACAATGCATTTTTATTAACATTAATTCCAGAGAACTCTGTTATCAGCCCCAGTGAATGAAACCATATTCATGCTGACGGACCCAGATCTGCACAGAACATAAAGGTTCAGCAAAGAGAGACCATTCGACTCTTCTCTTAACAGGGAATTACAGTTACCCTGTTAGTGATAGCCTAAAACAGGGGTTCTCAATTTCTACATTAAAAGGTCCAAATCTGAATTTTTATTAAGGTCAAGTGTATGAAACAATTGATATTACATAACTTGTTTTTAATAAACATCCATAAGATGCACAGAGGCAGCATGGTGGCGCAGTGGGTAGCACAATCGCATCACAGCAGGAAGGTCACTGATTTGGCTTGTGGCAAAAAATAAACACATACTTATCAGTTCATTCAACTTTGAACTGTCTAATCTCTGCAAGTTTTCTTTTCCGTGAGGCTGACATTTTCATCCATTCAAATGATTGCTTTTCCTCAGTTTGTTAAAGCAGGCGCGCACATGCGATTTTCCAGCTTGACCATGATTAGGCCCGGCCCTAACCAATTTGGAGCCCTAGGCAAGATTTCAGGTGAATTTCAGTAATTTCCACTGCTAGTGTACATATACTCAAAATAAATGTATTAGTTTTGTCTTGGACATTCTTTCATTTTTAATAAAGCAATAGTACATTCAAAATACTCAGAAAGAAGTCTTTGCAACTGTGGGCCACGATGACATAATACGCAGCCATTATGCATCGTGAAACCTGTGTAACCCCCTTTCATGCTGAAGTGTCGGCACAGTGAGTTTTGCAAGTGGACAAAACAAAAATTAAAACAATATGATGATGATCTTATTTTATCTAAACATGCTATGAAGCAGAAAGGAGGGATGAAGAGTCAGGGAGGTAAGATTAGGCCTAAAACAGTTCACAATTCAGGTCTAAAAAGACAATTAATTCTCATTAATTTATTCATTTTCCTTTCAACTTTGTCCCTTTATTAATCAGGGGTCGCCACAGTGGAATGAACCACCAACTTATCCAGCATATGTTTTACACAGTGGATGCCTTTCCAGCTGCAACCCAATACTGAGAAACATCCATACACACTCATACACTACAGCTAATTTAGTTGATCAGTTCCCCTATAGCGCATGTGTTTGGACTGTGGGGGAATCCGGAGCACCCGGAGGAAACACATGCCAACACGGGGAGAACATGCAAACTCCACACAGAAACACCAACTGACCCAGCCGTGGCTCGAATCAGCGACCTTCTTGCTGTGAGGTCACAGTGCTACCCACTGCGCTACCGTGCAGCCCACAGATAATTCTATAAAACATGTTTTTTGTATCTTATGGAATTGTCAAATTAAATTAATATTCTTGCAAAAGACTTCTTAAATGATCTTAGTATATCACTCCAGTTGTGTCGTTGTGTTCCAGTTACATTTAGGACAAATTTCTGTTATTTATTTAGAATATTAATGTATAATAATAATAACAATAATAACAACAATAATAATACTTTTATTTATTTAAAATAAATCTAAATATTTTTATATATTTATTTATTTATTAAAAATTATTATAAATAAATGGATGGTGTGGGGGGGGGGGGGGTGGCTTTTGAGGATAGGTGATGGTCCTGGTCCTCAGTTCAGAAGACAATGATGACATCAGCATACAACTATGCATAATTCTAAATAATTTCTAAATTAAATTTTGAGATGATTTTGTTATACACATATTCTTGCACTGTCATTGACTTCATATAAATAGACTATTTTCAAATCAGAAATGTGCCATTATCAGATTGTCTCTTGCATATTCAACATGTAGGGCAGATATATACTGCTGCTCACAATCAGTAATGTTTATTCTCACACAGAAGACTCACATTGTGGACACAGGCACACTTAATCCCTCCAATGTCTCTCATCAAAATATTACCTAAAACATTCATTTTTACACAAACCTCATTCTATCTTTAAAAATATTATAATATTGCTTGAATTTGTGGACTTAGTCCAGTGATTATTCATTCTGAATATTGACTGGATTTGAATATAATTCTACATTAAATCTATTGTGCTTATATTGACTTAATATAATATGCAACTCCAAGCAACATTATTAAAAATTTTTTGCTATCCCATCATTTAATTCCTGTAATTTTACACACTATTTATACTCTCCTAACCCTCCTGATCTGGGATTATTATAGGCTACGGAAGGTGTCCGTCAGTCAGCATGCAGACTACACTGATTTAGAAGTTGTAACGATCGACGCACAGCTTTAATGGAAAGAAAGAGAATGCAGATGTTTTTATATTAATTTTAACGTGCTATCAAGCCAAAATAAAGCGAAAGCACAATTCTCTTGAACAGCTCTTGCAGTTCTATTACATTTGAGTTCGGCTGTGTTGACGGTACTTTCACTTTTCATAGAAAGATTAAACATAAGGGGGAAGTATTGGAAAATGAAACAGGATGATTGCGGGGATGTCATTACAAGAGTCACACAGGAAACTTTGAATATTACGGAGTCCGGATTTGAGAAGCCCTGGCCTAAATCAAGCGCTGAAAGCATCTTTCTCTGGCTCAGAGCCAAAGCGTGAAACTTTGAATCTGACAGTTATTAGCGGATATATTGACACCAATATAAACAACAAAACAATATCGCCAGTATGTAATAACATCCTCCCTACGAT